GGGTGATGGGGGTTGTCTCGTAGAGCCAGCAGGCATGGCGTCTGTGTCTGTGTGTATTGTGTTTGTGTTCATTCACTGTAGGCGATGTAGCGGGTCACCATTTGAAGAAGTTCTACCGGCACGTGATGGCCGCAGTGGCCTCATTCAGCAAAGAGCTCAAGGTGCTCCACACGCCACCCACACACAAACTGCCGGGCAATGCGTTTGCGCTCACTGTCGTGTTGGTCGAATGGATGACAGGGCCACAAGAAGACCCAAGTACACTTCAGCGACGACGCCGACGGCCTGAGCACCGACTTCGAGCGGCGGTTCCTGGCTGAGCAGATTGGGCTCAACTTCAGCGGCAGCCCATACAAGTTCAGCTTGGATGGCGACGGGCTGTGTGTCGAGCGTCGGACGTGACCGTCCGTCAAATGAATGGCTTAGGATAGGTGAGAAGACCGAACGACAAATGGGCGCGGCGCGTCACCAACTGTCTCCCTCCCTGTGGCTGTTGTCAGATTTGACGGCAGCTGTGGGTGGGGGTCTGCATGGAGGAATGGAGTGCCGCATCAGGGAGCAGCAGCTGGTAGCGGGATGCATAGGTGGAGGACAGACTGACACAGACAGCCGGCACTCATCCACGGCTGCAATGCCATGCTACACATACTTTTGTAGAGTGTAGATGCAGTGCATTGCTCGACCCGACTTGGCGCGTGATGTTTGTGTTGGTGACCTGCTTGTGCCTGGCTGCTCTTCAATGTAATGTGTGCCCACTGAATCGATGGATCAGAAAGTGCACCACACCAATGTCACGCCCCTCCATCCATCCATCCATCTGTCAGTCTGTACCCCTCTCCACTGACAGAGACAGACTGACCCCTCGCCTTACACTGTCCAGCGCCCGATGTCGTTCCGGCAGATCGACACACCCGCCGCGAGTGTGAGTGGCAGTGACCCGGTGGCCGGGTCTCTGTTGGCCACCGACGGATTGATGCCACCGACAGCAGTGGAGGGCAGTGCGCAGCAAGAGGGCGATGGTGAAGACGATGGCACGACCAAGAATAACCGCATCATAGACAACGTCAACAGCCAGGTGTGCACACACAGGCAAGGAGACGCACAAACCAAACTCTATGTGTGATGGATGTCTTTGTGATGTCAGCTTGAGGATGTGGCGGGCGCCGACAAACATGAGACACGTGACGAAGACGACAATGGCCAACAAGTAAGTCCATGAACCTCTCACTCACGACACACATGAATGAATGAATGAATGAATGTGATGTGTGTTTCCTCAGTCTGATGTGTCGGAGGGTGCTGCGGCGAGTGACGAGTCAGCATCCACAACCACAACCACAATGGCCACCACCAACATCAGCAGCAAAGGGGACGGCCGCTTCAAGCAGGAGCACCACACCGAGAGAGCGGCTGTGACGAAGGAGCATCTACAGAACGGCCCCCTTCCAAGAGCGTTGGCTTACCTCTACGCCAAACACAACTCACGCAGGAATGTGTGAGCGGAGGCAATTGATGGCTGAGTGACTGACTGAATGGATTGACGCGCAACATGAAGTGTGCGTATTCTGATGAGAAAAAGAGTCCATTAGGAAAACACCAATCGCATCGATCGAGCAGAGACAGTGTCACCCTCCGGCAGCAGCCAGCCACATGCACACACGCACCATGACAGGTCTCCATCCATCCATCCGTCCGTCAGTCTGTCCCCGTCTCCACTGCCATCTATCTACTGCTCTGAGCCCCTGGATTCGGCACTTAGCGCCGCTCAGGGCTCGGCTATCGGTCTGTGTCTTGTCACTCAAAGGCAAACAGGTCGCTGTCCTGCAGCAGCCCATCTGCCATCATCTCGCATTGTATCGGCGGCCACGTCGGCGACGGCATTGACATGCCAGCCCACCACTCCTCCATCCTCTCCATCCACAAAAGGGTGTCGGCCATCGTCGCGTCTCCCTCGCCCTCACCCAGCCTTGACAGGTCCGTCTCCATGACGCGGGCCATCTTGGAGGGCCTCTCCTCTTCCTCCGCCTGGCCTTCCTCCTCGATCCTATCAGGCGTGCCGTCCTTGTGGCCCTGCGTGGCCATGGCGACGTCGAGCCCGTATAGGAGGAGCTCCCCTCCACGTTTCGGCGGCTCAGCCTTGAAAGCGTCCGTCGCCGCCCAGCGCTCTGACACGCACAGAAAGACACAGAGAGAGACAGAGGGAGACACACAGGTATACCCATCAGGAACAGGCCGGCTGGCGTCCCTCCTCGTCCGCCTACCCCAGTCTTCGTTCTCATCGTCGGACTCTGAGCTGCTCTCGTTGCCATTCTCCCCCCTCTCCCTCAGCCAGGGGGACCCTTGGCCCGGCAGGTAGAAGGGGTTGATCTGCCGCATCCACCCGTGCTCGCGCATGAACCGGTCATAGTTCCACTGCTGCATATTGGCCTCTTCCTTCTCCTTGGCCGCCGCCTCCCTCTCCGCCTTCGTCACCTTGGCCCTCTTGCCCTTGGCCTTTGGCTTGGGCTTGGCTTTCGGCTTGCTGGCCGCCTTCTTGGAAGCCGCCGCCTTGTTGATGACGAAGCCTTCGGGCAGCGGCGGTGGGGGCATAGCCAGACGGTCGGCTTCCTCCTTGGTCATCTTGAGCAGAATCTCGATGCCGGCCTGGTCAGTGGGGGGCGGGGGATGGTCTGGGGTGGGCGCGGTGGGAGAGGGGAGGAGCGGCTGCGATGACTCGACCATGTGCGGCGCCTCCTTCTGCACATTTGGCGCTGTCGTGGCCTTCTTGCTCTTGTCTGTGCGGCGGGGGCGGGAGGCACGCACCGACACGCCGCAGCCGGGTAGGCGGATCTTGGTGGGATCCTCCTCTGCATCAATTAAAGTGACACAGTGAAGAAAGCACATCAATCAGGCCGGTGGATGGCATTGCATGTGCTCCCGCGTTGTGTGTGTATTGTGTGTCTGCCTACCATCGTCGGGGAGTTGCTTGGGCGTGCGCTTCCGCTTGCCACGGCGCTCGTGCGACACGTCGACAACGACACCACTAGGCATATCTGAACACAGCAGAACAGTCAAGGCAATTAAGACGTGAGCACATGGCGTCTCTGTCCTGTGTGGGCCCTTATTCGTCACCTTTGCCCGTTTTTCTTTTCGGTCTCGTCACCATCTTGTCCTTCACTCCCGCAGATATGCACACTGCAGTGCAGAACAGTCACGAAATGAATGCAGTCGGGGGAGGCACAGATGGATTGCCATGTATATGATTGGCAATCAGTAGTCAGTGTTACCATTGGCCTCACAGTGGTCTTCTGGCACGTCCATCTGGTCCGATGCTACCCCGCTGCCCTCTCCCGTACTCCCTGCAATGGTGCATGCACGCAAAGAACCCACAGTGCATGTGACGCCCACGCCGACGGCTGTTCTATGTCCGCCTTACCGCTGCTCGATGGCTCTCCCTCGTCAGGGTGAACTGTCATGGCGGCTCGGTGGCCTCCGATGGGCCGTGAACCGGGCACTGGGACGCCTCCGGCGATAAAGCCATTCGGAGCTTTGCCGCTCCATATCATGATGCTGTTGGATGCTGGTCCCCTGCGGTGGTGCTCAGGGACTCTCGTGACTGTTGGATACTGTTGGGACCTCAGAACAGCTGTGCAGAGGGGCTCTGCAGCCGATTCTGAGAGAAATGGGGGCTGATTTTGGGGGCGGTTCGGTTTCGCGCCCCCCCAATCGATCAGACTTGTTGCTGTAGCTCTCTTGCTTCCCTGCGCGTCGGCGGCCTCCCTCCAACATCGACTTGAAGGGAGGTCAGACAACCAGCCAGCCAGAGACAGACACCTGAGAGGGTCGTGACACAGAGAGGCTGGGTGCGTTTGATGAGTGAGAAATGCATTGACGCGCGAACAACGATGATGGTGGTGCATGCATTTCATTCAGTCACGTCACTGTGTCACTGTGTCACGTCATCTCAGCGGTCCATTCGGGAAGGTGCCTCACTCCATCCACGGCCATTCTATCAAATTACATACAATGCACAGACAGATGTAGAGAAAGGCAGGTCAATGATCGATGCTTCATACGAAAAGACGCCCTCTCCCCCGGTGAATGATGATCGATCACGCGTGGTGTCTTTAATCTGTCTGCTGCTGCCCCGCGCCCGCCCTACGAACAATCTGTCTCTCCCGCTCTCTCTCTGCGCGCGAATCTGTGCGGTGTATTGGAGCGATGAATCTCTCATCACCGCTCCGTTTGCCCCCAAGTTGTCTCTCTGTCTGGTCTCGCCTTATCTCGGTGCGTGTTGCTTGAAAGCCCCCCCTTCATATGCAGCCATCCCACCCACTTATAGAGAATTCAATCACGCAACAAAAGTGCAGGTCAGTTCACGTGCCTTGTGTCGCCTTGTCTGCTGTCTGCTGCTCGGTGCCGCATTCATCCATCCATCCATATTGCAAAACTGTGCCACATCCACCCGCCACACACACGCATCACATGCAAGCAGGAGCAGGGAGGGGGATGGACGGATGCACAACTAAGTCGCTCGCTAACCCATGCACCCATCCATCCGTGCAAGGAGCCAGACATTCAGCCATCCAGTCACCACGCACGCCACGCCACGTGCCGCTGAAAAAAGGGGAGAGGATTCGCCACACTGACTAGCCTAGATCCATCCACACACCGATCCTTGCCTTATCTGCTCGACGGCTGTCGTGTCATACGGTCATCACAGGGGGCCGCCCGCGGGGATCATGGGGTTGGGGTGGTACCCGCCCCCCATGCCGTAGCTGGGCCCGGGGGTCCAGCTGCCGCCCATCCCGCCGCCATACCCCCCGTGCTGCATGCCTCCGGGGCCGTACTGGTGGATGGGCCCATTACCCATGTAGCCGCCGCCCCCGCCATACATGGGGCCGCCGAAGTACCCGCCCGGCATCCCGCCGCGGCCGCCCCGGTAGCCCTCGTAGCCTCCCCGGCCGCGCATGCCCCCGTAGCCGTTGGCAAAAGGACTGATCCAATCAAGACACCAAGGAGGGGAGAGAAGGAGACAGTTCGCGAGTGTCTGTGTTGTGTCCATGAGTGTGTGAGGCTTCGATTGGCTTACTCGTATGAGCCGCCGAATCCGTTGTAGCTCCCCCGCCCAGCGCCGAACCCGCCCCTCGGTGGTCCGTTCCAGAAGCCTCCCCCCCTGCCGCCGCGATAGCCCCCGCGGAACCCGCCCCTGAACCCGCCGCCCCGACCGCGGTAACCGAACCCTCTCGGAGGGCCGTACCCGCCACGATAACCGCCGTACATCCCGCGGCCACCGCGGTATGATAACGGCGCTGAAGCCGTCATGACAAGGGACAGACAGAGATGCACATGAGTGTGTGTTGTCGGTCGGTCGGGGGGTGCGCGTGTGTGGTCTTACTCATCATGTAGAGGCTCTCAGGGTCGAAGTCGGTGACTTCGTCGTCGGGCAGTGGCGGTTGGTATCCGATGTCGTCCTTGTCGAGCTCGTCGAGCGACAGCAGGATCTCGACGTACGGCACGTTGCGGGAGATGGTGCGCGTCTCGCCCATCATGCCCATCCGGCCGTTGTTGAACTCGTCTATCATCGTCGTCGTACCGCACTGAATACACAGACGATATCACCACACACACACACACACACGCACAGATGCATACCAGAGAGATCCAGTCACTCACCCACCCCTATCCTCCCTGCGTGCATGTGTGTGTGGCGCACCTTGGTGATCTGGTGGAGGCCCTTGAACTTGCGTTTGATGGTCTCGGCGACGGTCACAGCGCGGGCAATAGCGGCACCCGTGGCTGATAGATCACACACACACCAGCCACACACATAACACACAACATCGGTATGACGTGTTGCCGAGCATGTGCCCGTGGCCACACACGGAGGTCAGATCTGTGCTTCTCTGCCCACCCCCGCCCCTGTCTGCCTGTGTGTGCGCACCTTTGATGGTGAACTGTCTCTTGTCCTGCTCCTGCATCAACTTGGCGGCATACAGCACATAGGCACTAAACTTCCCTGCACTCATGACGCGAATCTCATCCTCTGGGGTGTTGCTGCGGGGGACCCCGCGCTTGTTGTAACTCTCAAACTCGCCCTGCATCCTGCTCTATACACGTGGTGGTTGGCAGCCCGGTCGCTCTCCTGTCTGATTGGGCTGCCGTTGCTCCTCTCGCGCTTCGCTGGGCCCTGATCCTTCCCCTTCTCGGCCCTTCCTGGTCTTTTCACTGGCGAGCTTCTCTCACCGACTGCGAGCTGGAGGGTTCCAGTGAGCGCAGTCGTCGAGTTGGAGGTGAACGGCGGCAGTCATTCGATAGGTGAGGTCGGAACAAGCTCTTTGATTCATGGATTTCGTTGTCAAATGTCAGATCTTTGCTGTGTTGTGCTGTGCAGGAGAGCCGGAGGCCAGATCACGACTGTCGGCCTCTCGCCTCTTGAGCAGGAGCCTTCAGTGTGGCCGATGGAGAACGTCATTCCGGAGTTTGCACGGAGGTGGCTGCCAACAGTGAGGTGAGGTCGATGCTCTCGAGCGACCTTCATGTGCTGTGACTCTGTGCTCGTTTCCTTCTCTTTTCAGGCTTGCGGCGCCTCCATTTATGGATAGTGATGGCGACCTTGACTTCGGCGGTGCTTTCGAGATCCGATTGGCGTGCTTACCCCACGACGCTGACCATACGGCTGCCCCTTTTGACGATGCCTGTCACCCATCCCTGTGCTCATTTGACCACTCGGGAACCAAGGTGATTGAACACGGGCGAGCAGAATTGCCAGCTGTTGTATTGTCAGCTGTGGGATGCAGCACGACGCCTGGCAGAGTTTCTGCAGACACCGATGGGGCGAAGACTCATTCATCAGAAGGTGCGCTTGGACGGATGCCACCCACACACACCCGCTTGTGCTCTGAGGGTACGCATTGCTGGTCGCAGCGAGTGCTTGAGCTGGGTTCGGGCGTCGGCCTGGCCGGCATTGTGTGCCAGAGGTGTGGGGCTACCAGCTGCATCCTGACAGGTGGGCTGACATGACACCCGGATTCATTCGTCGATGTGTGTGCGATGACACGTCTGTGGTGTGCAGATCGAGACTACCTGACCATGTGCATATGCCTCCACAACCAGCAGCAGAACAATGCGACCGCTGTGTCGGTCCGGCACTTCGACTGGCAGATGCAGTCGCTCGACGGCTTGTCATCGGACGCCGTCGATGCAGAGCAGTTTGGCTGGTCTGATGCCGATGTCCAGCAGGTGCGGCGGGGTGACATAGACGTCCTCATCGGAGCTGACGGCAAGTGGATAAGAGGGGAGAGAAAGCCCCCCATGTGACGCGTGTCTGTGTGTGCGCAGTGCTGTATGACTATGAGGCCATCCACCTCCTTTTGCAGCGGTTCCGCGAGCTGTGTCTGATTCGCCTCAACCAACGCCGACCAGCCCCTCTTCTCGTCCTCTCCAACGCCATCCACCTATTCTTCGCGCCGCAAGGGGATGAGTCGAAGCTGGATCGGTTCTCTGCCCTTCCCCCTGACGTGAAGACCGCCATTGCATCCGATCGCTATCTGGCCCACTTCGTTGACCGCCACATTCGGTCGTTGCGGCTGTGGGGCGACACAGCAGAGGACGAGAGGCTCTTGGCTGCGTTTGTTGAACCGAGTGTCATGGCGGGAGGGGTGTGCGGAGGGGGCGAGGGCGGTGTGTGCGTGGACGGCTGGTTGTTCGGGGGATCGGACACACGTGTGTTCGTCATGGCCCTACGACTGTGCGAATAAATGAATGGAGGTAGTTACTAGGATTGCCGCGTTGGGCATGACGCTCCCAGCCTCTCTATGTCATGACCCTCTCCGGTGTCTGTCTCTGTCTGGCTGTCTGACTGTCTGCCTGTCTGGCTGTCTGGCTGTCTGTCTGCCTGTCTGCCTGGCTGGCTGTCTGGCTGGCTGGCTGGCTGGCTGGCTTCAAGTCGATGTTGGAGGGAGGCTGCCGAAAGAAGGGAAAGGGGGTGCCCATTTCCCCCAGTCGAGAATCAGGGTTAGGGATCTCGTAGAACGAAATATTTCACTCAAGGAAAACTTCGCCCTGGAGAAATTCATTTTCTCCCTGGAGAAAGGGAATTTCTCCCTGTAGAAAATAACTTTCGCCCTGAAGGAAGTATGTTTCTCCCCGTAGAAAATAACTTTCGCCACGTAGAAAACAACTTTCGCCCGGGCGAAACTGATGTGTAACGGCTCCACATTCCTGCCATTTTCGCTTCATCCCGATCACCAAAATCATCATTTTCCGAATTTTTCCCTACTTGTCGTATTTTGGCGACACGACGCGCACGAGGCCAAGAGAGTTAACATGTCTGATTGGTTGGGGGGGGCGCGAAACCGAACCGCCCCCAAAACCAGCCCCCATTTCTCAGAATCGGCTGCAGAGCCCCTTTGCACACCTGTTCTGAGGTCACAACAGTATCGAACAGTCACGAGAGTCCCTGAGCACCACCGCAGGGGACCAGCATCCAACAGCATCATGATATGGAGCGGCAAAGCTCCGAATGGCTTTGTCGCCGGAGGCGTCCCAGTGCCCGGTCCACGGCCCATCGGAGGCCACCGAGCCATCATGACAGTTCACGCCGACGAGGGAGAGCCATCAAGCAGCGGTAAGGCGGACATTTGATGCCGAGAACAGTTGTCGACGTGGGCGTCACATGCACTGTGGGCCTTTGCGTGCATGCACCATTGCAGGGAGTACGGGAGAGGGCAGCGGGGTAGCATCGGACCAGATGGACGTGCCAGAAGACCACTGTGAGGCCAATGGTAACACTGACTACTGATTGCCAATCATATACATGGCAATCCATCTGTGCCTCCCCCGACTGCATTCATTTCGTGACTGTTCTGCACTGCAGTGTGCATATCTGCGGGAGTGAAGGACAAGATGGTGACGAGACCGAAAAGAAAAACGGGCAAAGGTGACAAATAAGGGCTCACACAGGACAGAGACGCCATACGCTCACGTCTTAATTGTCTTGACTGTTCTGTTGTGTTCAGATATGCCTAGTGGTGTCGTTGTCGACGTGTTGCACGAGCGCCGTGGCAAGAGGAAGCGCACGCCCAAGCTGCTACCCGAAGACGGTAAGGAGACGCACAATACACCGACAAAACAGCAGCACATGGAAGCCAATGCACCGGTCTGATTGATGTGCTCTTACATGTATTGATTCCATTGATGCAGAGGTGGACCCCACCAAGGGCCGGCTGCTCGACCGTGGCCTACACCTACCGCCCGCCCGTCCCGCCGCACGGCCAAGAAAAAGGCCACGACAGCGCCAATCCAGGAGGAGAAGCCGCCCATGTCATCGCAGCCCCTCCCCACCTCCCCCACCCCTCCCGCCCCAGACCATCTCCTGACTCCCACCCACCAGCTGGACCCCGAGACTCTGCTCAAGATGGCCAAGGAGGAAGCAGACCGCCTCGCCATGCCCCCACCGCCACTGCCTGACTTCCTGCTCAAGAAGGCACCGGCCCCCAAGAAGGTAGCCAGCAAGCCCAAGCCAAAGGCCAAGGGCAAGAGGGCCAAGGTGACGAAGGCGGAGAGGGAGGCGGCGGCCAAGGAGAAGGAAGAGGCCTCCATGCGGCAGTGGAACTATGAGCGGTTCATGCGCGAGCACGGGTGGAAGCGGCAGGTCAACCCCTTCTACCTGCCGGGCCAAGGGTCCCCCTGGCTGAGGGAGAGGGGGGAGAATGGCAACGAGAACAGCTCAGAGTCCGACGATGAGAACGAAGACTGGGGTAGGCGGGCGAGGAAGGGACGCTAACTGGCCTGTTCCTGATGGGTATACCTGTGTGTCTCTCTCTGTGTCTCTGTGTGTGTCAGAGCGGTGGGCGGCGACGGACGCTTTCAAGGCGGAGGCGCCAAAACGTGGAGGGGAGCTGCTCCTATCCGGGCTCGACGTTGCCATGGCCAAGCGGGGCCACAAGGACGGCACGCCTGATCCAGCGTCTGATAGGATCGAGGAGGAATGCCCGGCGGAGGAAGAGGAGAGGCCCTCCAAGGTGGCCCGCGTCATGGAGACGGACCTGTCAAGGCTGGGTGAGGGCGAGGGAGACGCGACGATGGCCGACACCCTTTTGTGGATGGAGAGGATGGAGGAGTGGTGGGCTGGCGTGTCAATGCCGTCGCCGACGTGGCCGCCGATAGAATGCGAGATGATGGCAGATGGGCTGCTGCAGGACAGCGACCTGTTTGCCTTTGAGTGACAAGACACAGACCGATAGCCGAGCCCTGAGCGGCGCTAAGTGCCGAATCCAGGGGCTCAGAGCAGTAGATAGATGGCAGTGGAGACGGGGACAGACTGACGGACGGATGGATGGATGGAGACCTGTCATGGTGCGTGTGTGCATGTGGCTGGCTGCTGCCGGAGGGTGACACTGTCTCTGCTCGATCGATGCGATTGGTGTTTTCTTAACGGACTCTTTTTCTCATCAGAATACATACTCTACACAAAGAGGATGCGTGCAGCGAATCTCATCAACAAAACGCGTCACACAAACAGAGAGAGTGCAGACACAAAGTTCCCCCATATCGATCATATGCCCTCCTTGTTTGGCTCATCCATGCCCCTCTCCCCCAATAACCGTCCACCAATCACCTCGTCTCTGCCCAGGTGCCGAAGAGCCCTCTGCAGCTCGCCAATCGTCACTGCCCGCTTTCCACCCTCACCCACGCCCCCCTCCTCATGTGCAGCTAGACTCCCGCCCCCACCTCTCCGCGCCATGGCGTCCTGCGGGTCCGCGAGGAAGGGCACGAACGACATGAGCCGCTGGAGACATTGCGGCGGTGAGGGGGCGATGAGGAGAAATGACAACAGCGACTGCAAAAAGGAGAGGTGTGTCTCACCGTATGTATGGTGGGGAGGGACAGAGAGGGAGACTGACCTGGTATCCCTGTGCGTATGTGAATGTGACGCCGTGGTTGTGCATCAGGTCGTAGGAGAAACCCTTGGCCTTGGACACCTGGAAGAGCTGCCGAAGGCTCAGCCGGCAGAGAGGCGGGCTCTCCACACAGTGGGCTAGCACAAACGAGACAGTGGTGCTGGCGCTCGGCTGCGATTGCAATGCCGAGTCGCCGGGCTGCATCGAGTCGTTTACAGAGCTGTCGACCTCGGCTGACGGCTGAACCACATTGAGGTTATCAAACACCCCCGTGTTGGGGTTGTATAGGGCCTGAATGCACCCACACATGCAGCAGAATGATCCCCTGTTGTCCTGTGCGCTTCCCCAGACCCACCTGTGAGATTGCCTGTCCGAAGAAGAGCATAGCACAGTCATCCGTCATGCGCACATCAATATCCACAACCCACGCCAGCAGGCCCCCCTCACCCTCACCCACACCCACGCTACCCAGGCTACCCAGGCTCTCACCACCACCACCACCACCACCAAGACCGCCACCCTCTTGCCTCACAGGCGACATCTCCCGGCTCACGACGCTCATTTCGGATGGCACATCGGGAGAAGGCGACTTCAATCCCGCGAATGAGATGGGCTCTTCCCCAGGTGCAAGGGTGCCCGCCTGGCCGGTAGATGAGGGCGGGAGGCTGTCTGGGGGAGGGGAGGAGGGGGAAGGGGAGGGAGACGGGCGCATCATGTCGGCGGCTGGCGAGCCTTCCGGTGGTCTTTGTGTCTCGAAGACCACAAAGTCGATCGTGATAAAGCCGATGATGCTGCGAGCCGCCAGGGCGCGGCCCAGCAAAGAGGCTGCGTCTGCCTGGAGAGAGACAGGGGAAGGGCAATGTGAATACACACCAGTGTGTAGCGATGAGACGCACTTACGAGAGGCTGATACGAAGCGCAGGTCTGCGGGGCGACTGAGAAGGCATGGATCAAAGGCCTGAGAGAAAACACGAGGAAAGTGATCGTGGCCTTGTGACTGAGAGGACTCTGGCTGCGTCCATCCATCACTTGTCCACATACTTGGATTGGACAGATTCGGTGGTTGCGAGCACCCTTGATGAGCCGTCGGGGTCAACACGGAGATGCACAGAGGGGCGGCCGATGACGCCGGGCGGACAGCCCTCAATCACACCGCCCACACGCAGGTACTCGGTGAAGTAGTGCGTCCATGTGGGATACGCCTTAGGGTCACAGAGCTGGACCTGCAGACAGATGCATGTGGTGACTCTGAGTCTCTGCTGTCGCCCACCAAAGTCACCTTCTTGGGTACGTATTTGACGAGGACTTTGGCGACCATGTTGATGGTCTTCTGCCGGCTCCATGGCTCTTTCTCGTCCCCAGCCCCACCCTGTCCACCCTGCTGCTGCCCTTCCTCCCTCGCACCGCCACCACCCTCCTGCATCATCTTCTTCAGATGGCCGATAATGCCCAGAGCACTGGACACACGACACCATGTGTGGTCGGAGGAATGGTGATGCTGGCCTACCGACCTCATGTCGATGAGTGCAGTTCCCCTGGCTGAGGTCTCGTCGTCGATCTTGAAGACCCACATGGGAATCTCAGGATGCTCCATTATCAACACGGACAGAGACTCGTAGAACTTATCCTGAACACGGCGCAGATACACAAAGAGGGAGACGCCATCCACCCATCCATACACAGACACACGCACACAGTTGTCTCCCTCTCTCACTTACAGCCTGGTTGATATTGGTGGCGTGAGGGCCAGAAGGTATCTGGGCCGTCTGCATGACGCGCCGCATCTCACTCTTGGTCGACAGCGACGCTACCTTGGTGGGCGGCGGGCCAAACAGAGGCAGCCCCAATGCCGACGACAGCTGCACCTCCAGAGGGCTGACATGGCCCGGGACTATGTAGCCGAAGCGGCCCTTGGCGATCGTCCTGATGCGCCTGATGGCCTTGGGCGAGCAGAGGAGTGCGGTTGTGAGGGAGACGCGGGGCAGGTTGGCCGCCTCCTCTGCCACCACTATCTGACACACAGACAGACAGAACGGGCAATGGACAGATGAATGATAGGACAAGACAGGCGATCGCGATCGCCGACCTGTATTTTGCCTTGTGGATTGTCGATCCCCCTGAGCGTCATGATCTTGTAGAAGTACTCGAGCAGCTCAGAGGGCGGGTGCTCGCAGGTCACGTACACCACATCGATGGAGGGATCCCACACGCGAAAGAGCCGACCTGGTGGTGATGATGCATCAATGGCTCTCCTTCTCTCTCTCTCCCTGTCTAGGTGTGCGTTACCAAGCTGCGCATTCTGCCTCTCCCACCAGTACTGAGAGGTCTCCTTCCTGCTGTCTGGCACAGCGACAGACGGCACGTGCACCTCCAGCCGCCTCCCAGACTTCTTTGATGGCCAGTCGCCACCAAACTCATACAGCAGCCGCTTGTACTCACGCTGACAGGTGAGGGGGCGGGTGTTTGAACACCGACCAGTGTGCAGTGCCTGTGTGTCTTTCTGTGTGTGTGTGTGTGTGTACCTGCCTTTCCTGCATCATGGCAAAGACGGTCTTCCTGGTGCGCTTGACCGCGAGGTACAAGCCCCACTGCTCACGGATGAAGTTGGTCGCTCTGACAACAACAAGAAAACAAACACGGCTCGTATCTACCCGTTCCCCGCATCTCTCTGCTTCGCACTTGATCCTCTTCTTGTGCTGGATAAACTTCCTCCTCTCCTTGCGCATCTTCCACCACGACCCGATGATGGTTGTGGCGGTGCCATGCATGGCGCCCGCCAGCGAGGACTTCCCGCCCGCAGAAATGGCCGCCCGATGCCCGCGTGTCTGCAGCCGGATGCGACGCAGAGACGACGCTGGGCCACCCTCCTAAGAAAGAAAGAAAAGGGTGGACGTGGTGGCATTGGTTTGTGGGTTATTCACCCCTGCTGCGTCAGGTGTGGCTTCGAATGCGACCACACATCCCATGAGCTGGAGGTCGGATGCCACCTGACACTCGTCAGAGGCGAGGCTGGCCAGACGGCCGCCGTGGACCTTGCACACCTGAGCCATCCACCCACAGGCAGCACTGAACATTTCTACTGAGGGAATGGTGCATTCAGAGCCAAGCATGCAGCTGACCAGTGCTTCTTTTGCAGAGAACATGGTCTCCAGCCGCTGCAGGTACTGTGTGATGGCGCCCCAGTGTCGGTGGTGGTGCTTCTTGAACAGCTGGTACTCGACTGAAGGCTGCACGTGGCCATTCCTGACCACAAAAGGCGCGAGATAGATAGATACCCTCCGTCAACCACATGTCTCCTCCAATCCGTCTCCCTCTCCCCACCTGATGACGATCTCGATCTCTGCCAAAGCGCGTAGCCCCTCCTCGGCTGCTGCTGCATGTGGAGCCGGCAGCTGTCTCACCGGAGCAGCCACAGCTGCCGGCGCCGCCCTCTCTTCCTCCCTCTCCTCCATCTCGCCAGGCTCGGGTGTTGCCGGCTCAGGCAGCGACGTGAAGAAGGTCGGCGGCAGCCGATGCGTGCTCGGCACCTCCTGCGCAGCCTGAGGAGGGGCGGGCAAGGCCAGTGTTACCCTGGTGCCCTCGCCCGTGTCGTCTCTCGGCCTCGCCGGCGCGTGCCACGCAGGAGTAGGGTCCAGACGGAGGTTGAGCGCCGGTAGTGGGGGTGCGGGCTCGTACCTCTCCTCTCGTTTGTCGTCTGGCGGGTGGAGGGTGGCCTGTTTGGTGTGGATGACTGGGCGGCCCCTTTCCATTGCAGGGGTCACATCGGCGCTGTGAGGGAGGAAGCCGCGGACGGCCAAATCCAGGAGACCGCACTGGAGATCGTTCTCCTGAAAGACAACACGAAACGCTTGAACACGTATGCGGTCGGCTTCGTTTTTTCTCACCGCACCGTGAGTGACGGCGGGTCTGCGAGAGGGTCCAGCTTGTTGGTCTTCGGCAGGAACCGTTTCGGCTTGGTCTGTTTCAGCTTGGATGGTCGCCCAGTGGCTGGCAGCTGCCCCTGTGGTGGGGGCGGTGGGTGTCTCCCTGGCAGCGTGGTCAGCCGAGTGTCCTTCAGATGCATCAGCGGAGCTGCACACCACACACGAAGCGAGCAGATCTCTGCACAGCGGTCGATCCGTCAAGGATACTCGTGCTGACCAATTCTCAAATGAGGCGGCAACGATTCAATGTCGCTAAAGGTGCTGAGAGCCGCGTGGCTCTCCTGCACAGAGGGGAAGGGGAAGACTTCCAGAGGCGACGCTGCTGCAGCGAACTGGAGGAGGGCGGGGTGGGGGGCTGCAGCTGCCGGGGGAAATGGTCGTGGCCGGGGGTGTGCGACGGGGTCGGGGATTGGCGGATAGAAGACCTCGTGATTGCCCCTGCGACAACAGAAGAAAGACACACAGACGTGGATGCAATCATCATTATGGATGATTGCATCAGATTCTCACCTGTTGACCACAAGCTGAAGTATCTTTTCAGCGCGCTGCTTCAGAGACGCATCAGCTGCAAACCCACACAACACAATAAGAAACCATTCGTGGACACAACGAACAAACAAAACACTCAAGAACAAGCGCCCCGTCTCCCTCTCCCCCACCAACCTCTCTCCAGCGTCGCCTGCAGCAAATGGTACTGCGCGGTGACGGCATGCGTGGCCCCTGCTCTCTTTTCGCTCGACGAGGGGCTGGTGGGCATGGCCTGGAGGTTCTCCTGGATGGCCTGCAGGTCCCTCCTCAGATCAACCACCAGCTTGCCAAGCTCCTCCAGCTGGGCCATGCTGACGATGGTTAATGCAAAAAGGTGTGGTGGGTGAGTTTGCCAGGACAGGGGTGTGTTCGCCGCGGAAGCAAACGGAGATCATTGGCGAGCTTCCGTTCCCCGAACCCTTCACCCTTACCCTTACCCTTACCCTAGAGGTCGAATGAGACCGATATGAGGCAAGAAGGGAGGAAACAGAGGCCGGACCTTCTCCATTGACGACAACAAGAAGGCAAAGGGCAACAGTCCGAGATCTGCAGTGCCGATGACCAGAGATTCAGCACGTCCTCGAGCAAAATTGTCCTCGAGGCGATAACTTGCCAGACCCTCCGGGAACTTCTGATTTTGTGCTGGGATCTTGTTTGGACCAGTGCAAACCTGACGAAACCTGACTCCTGTACCCGAACGACCGCCAGAAACAGAGATCCGGGAAGGGCCCCTTGAAACGCCGCCCTCAGCGATCGAAATCCACACCTTTCCTCCACATTTCTGTTCTCTCCGTGGAGGAAATAGTTCCCAGTGTCAATCACTGCCCCGTAGAGGTGTCCTCTTGACGACACGTACTACAAGTCCGCTCCCGACGGCATCAGTCTGAGCTTCCCGTACAGCTCCGTGCACATAGAGGACAGGCCCCCTGTGGCGTCCCTCGCCACCATCGTGATGGCCTCTGGGATGTTAGGCAAACGCGTAAGCAGCCATGTGGGAGGGATGCATGACGTGCCAGACCCATCCATCCATCCAACCATCCATCCGACCATTTCCCTGTGTGCGTCAGGACCTGCTATACATGCCACCCGAGCTTCTGCCGAAGGCCAAGAAAACCTGCCGGAAGGGCCGCCTGAGCGAGAAGGATGGCGAGCAGGACGGCGAGAGGGATGAGCAAGCTATCATGGTGATGGAGCCAAAGGCGGTGGACGTGCAGATCAAGGTACGCATGCAAAACAGGGGATCGGAGCTCATGAGGGCTGTGAACACCTCGCCTGTGTGCGCGTGTGTCTTCTGTCTTGCCTGTGTGCAGGAGTTGGTGTTGCCGGGTCACTATGTCGCCAACTGCTCTGCGGACTGGAAGCAGGGGGCGCGGGGCATGATGGTGGACAGACTGTTCGAGGCCGCCGAGGAGCTCAACCTGCACTACAGAGTGCTCTACCTCGCGGCCAACCTCACGGACCAGTTCTCATACCTAGGTATGTGAGCCCGCATAGCACCACACACACACACACACACAGAGCGGACGACAGACTCTCTGTGTGTGGGTGCTTCGTGCATCTGTGTCAGTTTCCAAGTACTGCCCCGGCATGAAGCGCATCAGCATCTCACCCGTACACGCAAACAGACACCCACACCCACTCGGCCATACAACACCTCCACCTTTTTGTGTTCATCGTCATGTGTGTCAGGTGGGCTACACGTGCATCTGGATCGCGCAGCAGCAGGTCAAGGGCGGCGCGTCTTGGGAGTTCGGCCAGAAGATCGTGGAACTCATGAACGACATGCCCAAGAACAAGTCGTATGACCTCCAGGCGCTCGTAGACATCGAGAAGAAAGTCAAAAGGTACACCTGCACGTCCCACCCCTCCCACCCACACACAGAGAGAGGGGGAGAGAGATGCCCTGTCTGTCATTGTATGTGTGTCGGTATGCGTCTGTGTGTGTGGTGTGGTGTGGTGTTTCTTGCAGCGTTGTTGGATCTGGTTTTGAGTGCGAGACCGCCGCCGACCTGGTGGCGCGTTACGCCATGGCCGCCCAGCTGCCGAGCGGCACCGAGCCGCACATGTTTGCCAAGTTCCTAGCGGTGAGGTCACACCCACCCAGACACACTCACGCACACATCCATGTGTGGCTATGGTGGGGTGTGGTGTGGTGTGCAGGAGTTGGCGTTGACTGAGTTCGACCTCGCGAAATACGGGCCCAAGATGCTCACAGTACGCAGACAGACACAAAGGAATGAAGTGCCCAGCCCGTGTGTCACGTCTGGTGTCGTGTGTATGTTGGTCTGTTCCTTCCAGGCCGCCTGTGTGTGGGGGGCGCGCAGCCTCTGCCTGGACCTGCCTGAGGAAGAGGACTATGTACGTGTGCAGCCAGCACCACACACACACACACGCACAAACAGAAGGGGTGACATATGTGTGTTATCTGTGTGACCTGTCACTCACCCACAGCCGCCCGAGCTGGAGCGCGTCAGCGGCCTGACGTACACCGACATCATGCCGGCTGTCCAGGACCTGTGGCAGACCCTCAAGCAGCTCAACCGAGCCGAAAACCGCGCCATGGTGAGTGAGCAGTCACACACAAACACGACACATGTGTGTAGGGCCACTCAACAACACTCACCTGGGCCATGTGTGGTTTGATGGGATGGAATCTGCAGGCGAGTTTCGTCGAGCGTTGGCGGACAGATGAGCGCTACAACCTCAGTGACAGACTCTACGGCGAGATCAAGAAATCCACACCGCCCAGGACGCCCTCTGACGTACGCACAACACACACCCACACACCCACATATGCAATCTGACCGTGATGTGTATGTCTTCGATGTGTGGCAGGGTCTGTGTGTGCCGGCCGACTACCCAGGGTCATGTTCGGACGAGTTCAAGACCGACATCCGCGGCCACGTGGTGGACCGCATGATGGCCGCCTCGGACAAGTTTGGCATCCACACAAGGACGCTCAACTTGGCGGTGACCCTCAAGGACTGCTACCTATACACGGGTACACACACACAGACAAAACCGACACACAGAGAGAGCGGCATTCATATTGTGTGCGTTGGTGTTCTTGATTGTCTTCTGGCGTGCAGCCAACACGGAGTTCGCCAACTCGGGTATCCCCCGTTTCAGTCTGCTGGCCGTACGCGCACACACACACACACACACACACATATTCACGCCTCCCTCTCCCTCATGTGTGTTGCGTGGTGGTGTGTGTGTGCAGGTCGGGTACACGTGCCTCTACATGGCCTCCAGCCACCAGATGCCCCTCAGCGACCTCACAGCCGCCCTCAACGAGGAGCCCGTGTCTGCGTTCCGCTCCCGTATCTACCTCGAAGAGGACATCATCGCCATCGAAAAGGCCATGATCGAGTCATAAACGAGGCGAACCGATCATAGGCACACACCATCGTGTGTATCTTGATGTGATATGTGTGTGTGCAGCGTGGTGGCGAGCAAGCTGACGGCAGTGTGGCTGGCGGCAGATCGGACGGCTGCCGACTTTGCTGACCGTTTCGCGGCGGCTGGCGGGATTTCGGGCGGCTCGAAGCACCGTGCATTCGTCGACTTCCTGCTGGTGAGTCGGACACACGAGGGAGACACAACACGCATTCACCGACCTGTGTGTGGTCTGTGTGGTGTGCAGGAGTTGGCGCTGACGGACTTCGACATGGCCAAGTACACACCCAAGACCCTCGCCGTACGCACTCACACGAGCACACTCAGAAATACATCCATCAATCCATCAATCCATGGATTCACCCATCCCCCACCCACCTGGATGCAGGCAGCTGCCGTCTTGCAGACACGGCAGACGTGGATGGTCCGCCCCGGGCAGCCGAATGCCGGCGAGGCCGCATTCGTAAGCCACAACACATTACATGACACACACACAGACATAACCCTAATCTGCGTTCGTGTGTCCTTGTGGCTGTAATGTGGTGTGTATGTAGGCCGACGGACTGGCGCAGGCGAGTGGCCTGAGTGAGGAGGACCTCGCTCCGTGCGCCAAGGGGATGGGCAGGCTCCTGCTGGCCATCGGGCAGCGACAGGACATCCCCGTACGTATATCAGCCAGACAGACAGCAGGGCAGCACCAACGGGCTGATGCGTGTACCGTGGTGCTGCATGTCTGTGTGCAGAGCACCATGCGGGCGTGCCTCCAGCGGTGGTCGGGCGCCGAGCGGTACAAATGGGGTCTGTACAGGTTCACGACTGGATAGAACACTCTGTCGGTAAGGCCACCGACTGCACGTGGAATGGATGCAACAACCAACAAGCCGCTGTGTGTGTGTGTGTGTGTGTCTGCCGGCCTGTCGCGGGTGTCTGGTCTGTGTTGATTCGTTCCGTCTGCAGCAGGGCGACGGTGGCCACAGCTGACTGAGAGGGGTCTTGCTGACGTTGATACTCACATTCCATGCTTGGCTGACCAGCCATCCGTATGCATGCCACATCTTCTTCACATCATGCATGAGAAGAGTCTAGGCCTAGAAGATCCATTCGTCAGTTATCCAGCTATCCACTCGCAGAGATAAAACCACGACCCACCCCACCCCACCCAGCCACACCCACACCCTTGACGGCATTCAGCGCACAACGGATGTGCTGTGATGTAGACGCCGCACACATCATGTGACACATCGCTGTCAACTGGTCGCATCCATTTCCATTGGTCAGCCGCTGGTGTTCCCCTACATTATGTGTCTGCCAAGCTCGTCTACGTCCTCTCTCACTACCAAAATCCGCCAAAACCCAACCTCAAAAAACGAGCTCGGATCGTCGAGAATCGCTTTCGCACGGACAGTCCCAGACAGAATCGCTTTCGCACAATCGCTTTCTGCTCTGCCGCCTGAGCCCGCCCAGCAGCAGATGGTGGCGCCACGTGCCCTGGACGAAGAGATGGCGGCTGCCGAGAAGGGCGGCGAGGAAATCTGCATACCCCAAGTCAAGGTACGGACATCCCATTCACTGACCTACGGCCATAGCACCCGGCGCATCAACACACACAACCAACTGAACTGTGCTGCTGTGTGATGTGGTGTGACGTGTGCCCTTAGGCGTTTGTGCTGCCGCGCGAGTATGTGTCGAGTCGCTCGGAGTGGTGGAACGCCGGCACTCGCGGCATGGCTGTCGAGAGGTTATTTGACGCCGCCAACGTCATGCGCCTCGACGACAAGTACCTCTGCCTGGCGACGGACATCATGGACCAGTTCACCTACCTCAGTGAGTTCACACACACGGAGAGAGAGAGAGGGGAAGCGACATGGACACACCATACAGCTGCCCCTTTCTCTCTCCTCTCTCTTTGTAATCAATTCAGGCGACGAGTACCTGCCCGGCACGGACCAGCCGCACCTCTCGCTGGTCAGTTCGATCGACAGCTCACTCTCAACCACCCCCATGTACCTGAGTGCGTGCAATCGACCGATCAGGTGGCGTACGTGTCGCTCATTCTCGCCCACTACACGATCGACGCCGATGACTATGACTACAACAAACGCGACTGGACTGGGCTGGATGGGTGCGAGACATGGATGGATGTGTGTGTGTCGTCTTGTGTGGTGTGGATGTAGAATGAGGGATTGGCAGAGGCCAGCGGCCTGAACGAGGACGAAGTGTTCGAATGCACGGAAGACATCGGAAAAGTGCTGCTGGCCATCGGCCAGCGAAACCACATCGCGGTGCGTATATACACCATGCACTCGCGATGTCTGTGGGGTGTAATGTAGACCGACGCTTTGGGAGAGGCGAGCCGATTGAGCGAGGAGGACGTTGTTCAGTGTGTCAAGGGCATGGCCAGACTGCTGATGGCCATCGGCCAGCGAGACCTCATCCCCGTACACACGCCAGCCGAACAGGCAGCACCATGCATGGCACATGGATGCATCTGTCTGTCTGTGTGTCTGTCTGTCTGTGTGCGATGTGCACGTGTGTGCAGCCCACCATGAAGGCCTGCCTCGCCCGATGGTCGAGCGGGGAGCGATTCCAGTGGGGACTGTTTCGATGGTTGGGTGAGTGATGGGGCGGGCGGGAGAGGACGGTGTGTGTGTACGGTGTATCCTGTGTGTAGCCGGCCTTCCGCCGGTGAGTGATGGGGCGAGCGGGAGAGGACGGTGTGTGTGTACGGTGTATCCTGTGTGTAGCCGGCCTTCCGCCGGATGCATTGCAGAGGCAGACGGCCTCAGTGAGGGCGACGTGGCTGCATGCGCAGAGGGCATGGCCAGACCGCTGATGGCCATCGGCCAGCGGAACAACATCCCGGTGCGTATATCTATCAGCCAGAGAGGCAGACGGCACCATGTACTCCGGATGTCCCCTGTATCTATGCAGGCCACCATGCTGTCGTGCTTGCGCCGGTGGTCAACGACAGAACGCTTGAAGTGGGGCCCCTTCTCTTTCTTTTCTCCCTGAACACCCCACATATCGGTAAGGTTGACACGCTATGCATCCCTATGTGCAGGCGCCACCATGCGGGCGTGGTTGGACGGTGTGTCTGTGTGTGTCTTTGGGGTGTGATGTAGACCGATGGCCTGGGAGAGCTGAGCGGCCTCAGTGAGGAGGGCGTACCGGCACTGCTGGTCGCGCCATCTGGAAGAGTAAGGTCAGCAAGCTGACCCTCGAGCTGCTCGACTCGCTTCTGCAGCTCCTCCATCATCAAATTGCGGCGCAATCGACGATCCTGAGTCAGTGAATGCTCCGCGAGCTTTGCTGCGAGCTTGGACTGAGAGATCTCCTCCTCCAAAAAGAGGCCATCATCTGCAAAATATGGGCGGCGTGATAGGGCTGATACGCTTGTGTTGCCGTCGGAGCCAAGATATGAAGATGGACAAGGAGGAGAGGGCCGCTTTCTTTTCACCAGGTCGTCATAGGCCTGATGAGGCTGTACCGAGGCAGAAGCACCTGGCCCGACTGGATGTTTGCCCCCTCTCAGCTGAGCAACGTACACACGCATCCAAGAGGCAGGCAGCTGGGGACATGTGCGTGTGTCTGTTGATTGCGTGTGCAGGCACAGCTGTATCGGCTGAGTCAGTACCTCAAGGAGGACGGCGAAATCCTGGACGAGAGCGCGTTCAGTGCCGCGGTGTGTCGGGGAGGGACATCTCGAGCCAAACACAGACAGACAGGCGAACCCGTTGGTCTGGTCTTGTGGTGTGTGTGTGTGCAGGTGGAGCGCATGGCCAACCACGTGCGCCTTCACAAGATCATCAGAGCGTTCAATCGAGGAGGACCGTACTACGCGAAGTGAGCAAACACATCCAACACTTGCCGGCCGAGAAGGATACATACTTTCGCCCCTTCTCTCTCTCTCTGTGTGTGTGCGCGTGTGTGTCTATATGTGCGCAGGCTCATGGATACGCTACCCAAGTCGCCCACCTACGAGACAATGTTCAACTTCGCCGAAATCAACAAGCCGAAACACCACCGCGCACCGAGCACGGAGACAGGGGAAGAATCACCTGAGACGAAAGTTTGATAGATGGGGGTGGGAGGTTCTTTTTTCGACTGTGGTGTACTTGTTGTTGATACGAGTGTAGTGGGTGGGTGCCTGATGAAAGACAGGCCTGCGTGTACAGTGTCAGTGCATTTGTTGTATGCTTTCTGTCTGACTCTGCGATTTCCTAAATGAACACATCCCCATTGGTCATAATTGCCGCCCCCCTGATTTCATTTTCAGCCTGTGTGTGGACAGGCGGTCGGCTCTGTTGCAAAGGCGGAGCATGGCTGGATGATGGATATCTGACCCATCTGCCGCTTGATTCATCGCATCTGGCGTCCGTGACCTTGGATGATTGCAGCGTCTGATCAGCGGCACACGCGATGAGTGCTCCATTGATAGATGCGTGTGCCGTGGTGCTGCATGTCTGTGTGCAGAGCACCATGCGGGCGTGCCTCCAGTGGTGGTCGGGCGCCAAGCGGTACAAATGGGGTCTGTATAGATTCGCGACTCGATAAAACACTCTATCGGTAAGGCCACCGACTGCACGTGGAATGGATGCAACAACCAACAAGCCGCTGTGTGTGTGCGTGCCTCTGTTAATTGCGTGTGCAGGCACAGCTATATCGGCTGAGTCAGTATCTCGGGTGAGTCAGTATCTCGGGGAGGACGGCGAAATCCTGGACGAGAGCGCGTTCAGTGCCGCGGTGTGTCGGGGAGGGACATCTCGAGCCAAACACAGACAGACAGGCGAACCCGTTGGTCTGGTCTTGTGGTGTGTGTGTGTGCAGGTGGAGCGCATGGCCAACCACGTGCGCCTTCACAAGATCATCAGAGCGTTCAATCGAGGAGGACCGTACTACGCGAAGTGAGCAAACACATCCAACACTTGCCGGCCGAGAAGGATACATACTTTCGCCCCTTCTCTCTCTCTCTGTGTGTGTGCGCGCATGTGTGTCTCGGTGCATACACACAGAGAGACCATATTCCCGTACGCGGGCCAGCCGAACTGTCTTTCTGTGCCTGTATGTGCAGAGTATCATGACTGCCTGTCTGAGGAGGTCGTCAACGGCAGATCGTTTCCAGTGGGGGAAGTATCGCTTCGCCTGTCAGTGAACACATTGGTAAGACAACAACTCATAAGTGGATCCGACGACCAGCGATGCATCACCATGCCACGTGTCGCTCATGTGTCTGCAGGTTTTCCCTTCGTGTGCTGGAGGGGCGACTCCACATCACCGAGGGCGGCGTCGCCACCACACGCCACGCCGTCATCATGAAGTCGGCCGCCAGAGGGGACCCGCAGCGCCGCGACAACGAGATGGATGGATGGATGGATCGATTGATCGGACGGACACAGAAGTGGTCACATGAAGCCGACAGACACCATGCAGGCAGGTGCGGATGTCTCTCTCTGTGCAGCCGTCGCCGTCGTTTTACAACCCACATCGGGCGACGCCTGCCGCACATGCGTTAGCGACTCGGTGCCGGAGGTACGACATGAGAGACACAGCATAGCTTGATGAGCCAATTTAGGCTGTCTCTCCGTGTCTGCTGTTGCGTGTCTCCTATCGGTCAGGTCCTTATTAGACATCGGTGCCTACATTTTATATTTTGAAGGCTCTTGACGACCATACGAACACGCATGATTACATCAAGGACTTCAAATGGTGAGCCCGCGAGTCATCGCCCATACACACACAGACTCACACACGGGCGAGGAGAAGAACACCCCACCACACCCACATATGACGTTTTGTTGCACCTGTCAGGCGAGTTTCGTTGAGCGTTGGGCTACGGCTGGCCGCTTTCACCTGGGCACCGCCACCTACGGGCACAAGACGCCACCAGAGCAGTCGCAGCAGCAAAAGCACAACAAGAAAGTCTGCCCGGTTTCGCCATGCGAGGTCAGCCGGTTTTGCCAGACAGTCCGCCAATCTGCATACTACACACGTGTGTGTATGTGTGTGTGTGTGTGTTGGTCCAGCCACCACCCTACTCGCCTGAGCCCGCCCAGCAGCAGATGGTGGCGCCACGTGCCCTGGACGAAGAGATGGCGGCTGCCGAGAAGGGCGGCGAGGAAATCTGCATACCCCAAGTCAAGGTACGGACATCCCATTCACTGACCTACGGCCATAGCACCCGGCGCATCAACACACACAACCAACTGAACTGTGCTGCTGTGTGATGTGGTGTGACGTGTGCCCTTAGGCGTTTGTGCTGCCGCGCCAGTATCTGTCGAGTCGCTCGGAGTGGTGGAATGCCCTGTCGAGAGGCTGCTCGACGCCGCCAACGTCATGCGCCTCGACGACAAGTACCTCTGCCTGGCGACGAACATTATGGACCAGTTCACCTACAGATGTGAGCAGACACACACACAGAAAGGCAGACGGGGGCGAGGGGGGAGAGAGACATGGATACACACCACACACGTGGCCCTGTGTCTTCCGTCTCTCAGGCGACGAGCACCTGCCCGTCACGGACCAGCCGCCCCTCTCGGTGGTCAGTTCGATCGACAGCTCACTCTCAACCACCCACATACGCCTGAGTGCGTGCAATTGACCGATCGATCAGGTGGCGTACGTGTCCCTCATTCTCGCCCACTACACCATCAACGCCGATGACTATGACTACAAGAAACGCGACTGGGCCGGCTGGGTGAGAGACCGCATGAACAACAACACCCCCCGCAGGCTGTTCATGAGCATGGACCAGGTCATGGCCACCATGAACGATATTGATTGGCAATTAAGGAGATGGATGGGTGCACCGTGTCATTCATGGGAGGGAGGGGATGTGTGTGGTGTGTCTGTGTGTCGAGTGCAGTGTTGTTGGCGAGGACGCCGCGCAGCAGTGCCCGACGGCGGCAGACCTCGTGGAGACCTACTCGCCAGCAGCAGATGGCGGCTGGCGAGTGACTGGAGCTGGCCTTGACTGAGTTTGATCTCTGCAAATACGACCCCAAGACAATCGCTGTACGCAGGCAGACACAGAGGAACCCAGTGCACCCACCATCTTGTGTGTTTGTGTACATTTCTGTTGTGTGTGATGTGTGTATGTTGGTCTGTTCCTTCCAGGCGGCCTGTGTGTGGGCGGCGAGGACGATATCTGCATACCCGTGCAAGTCAAGGTACGGATATATTAGCTACGGACATCACACACACAGTGAACAGTGGATCCGACGAGCAGCGATGCATTACCATGCCACGTCAGGGTTTTGGAGACCAACACAGGCCTACGTCGACGGAGGTCCTCAGGAAATGCAGGACCGACTGTGGACATGGTCTACAACGAGCAGAGCGAGCAGTGAGGGGATACAAGAAAAAGCTGCCGGGAAAGGGACTGCTTCTGAGCAGAGCAGATGCTCGTTTTCTCACGGCAAGTGGGCGAATTGGGCCAAACTAGCGGGTACAGCCGTGACAGGGTTTGCGGCCATGTCTCTTTGCTGCAGGTGTGTAGACCATCGCTGTCTCCATTTTATATTCGTCGACTCCTGTATCCCGCACCACATCGGCCGTCCTCTCTACCATGTTGATATCGGTAAGGCCACCACACACACTTCGACACGGATGCACCATCGCGTCACCATATCACAAGTCCCCATGTGTCTGTAGGTGTAGGTGTCTCTAGCCATGCAGCTGATCCGTGTTATGGATTTTGGCTGTATGTGTGGGGGTTTCTCATGGTGCATGCTGGGACAGACCGGATGCAGCAATTGCATCAAGTGTGTGGCAGACAGGCTGACAGAATGACAGACCCACGTAAACGAACTTTGACTCTTTGACAACAACGTTCCATTCATCTGTTCGTCCTAACATCACAGGCAACACAATCGACTACCAATCGATAGAAATGAGGCCTTCACAACCCAACATGCTTTGAGTGGATCACAGTGCAGATCGTCAGCAGGACCAATCAGACACGCAAAGGCACACACACACATACAGCAGCGTCCCCGCCCTTCCTCCCGTCATGCATTGGGCAAGCAGTCAGGGATCCTCCCACAGTCCTTTTGCAGCTCCTTCTTGACTTTTGATGCGACTGTCTGACCAGCCCGCCACTGCTGCTGATACGTAAAGGTGGGGTAGAATGTCCCATCTTGCGCCGTCCCGCTTGCGAAGTGTCCCTCGAATACCACCCAGGTCCATGAACGACCGTAGGCCTTGCCGTTGCCGTGCCGCAGCCCATTCTCCCACTGCCCCTCGTACCTATTCTTGCCATTATCGTGATAGGAGGTACCCTGGCCGTGTGGCTTCCCGTCGAGCAGAGGTCCACTGTAGGTGGTGCCGTCCCCCAAGGGCATCTTGTCGGCTCTCCCCTCGCCGACCATCTGCCCATGCTCCCATGTGCCTGTGGACGTGCCGCCGTTCTGCCATGTCGCTGTCCCCTCGCCGTGTGGCTTTCCATTGTGCAGGGGGCCGGTGTAAGTCTTGCCGTCCCCGAAAGGCATCTTGTCGGTTCTCCCCTCGCCGACCATCTGCCCCGCCCGCCAGCCGCCCTGATACTCCATCTGGCCATTCTGATGGTAGCTGACGCCCTGACCGTGGCACTTGCCGGCCGTCCACTGGCCGTCGTACTTCTTGGTCTTGCCGTCATCATGATAGCACACCCCGACGCCGTCACCTTTGCCGCCCACCCACTGCCCCTCGTAGATCTTCTTCTGGCCGTCCATGTCGGCCTGCTTGCCAGGGCCGTGTGGCAGGCCGTTCTTGACACGCCCCTGATATCTTGTGCCGTCATCGAGAATGAGATCGACGGGCTGACAGTCACTCGCTGCACGCAGCTCGGCCAACTCCGCCTCAAGCCGCCTGTTGCGCTTCTTTGACTGCTCCAGCTGCTTTGTGAGCATCTCCACCAGACGAGCCTGTGTCCTCATGTGTTGTTCGGCCCGCATGCGGATCTCCCGCTCGGCCACGTCGGTGTAGGCGCTCGATGAGGCGGCATCTGGAAGGGACAGCTCCGCAAGCTGACCCTCGAGCTGCTCGACTCGCTTCTGCAGCTCCTCCATTATCAATTTGCGGCGCAATCGATGCTGCTGAGTCGGTGAATGCGCCCGGGAACGAGTGATGGGCTCCAAACGTAGCTCAGCTGTGCAGATCTTTCCGTCGCAGCTAAGCTCGCAGACGCAGGAGAGAAAGAAATCGGAACAAGATGGTCTTGTCAGCTCCATTGCATGCGTGTGGAGCATGAAGATGTTGCAGATCTGACCAATCTCCCGCTTGATTCATCGCATCTGGCCTCCGTGGCCTTCCATCACTGCATCCATCAGCAGCCCGCCTGAGTGACTGACTGATCCATCCATCTCTATCTATCGATGGAGCACTCATCGCCGGTGCCGCTGGTGTGTGTGCGTCGGTTCAGCCGTCCCCTGTCCCTCCCCTCCTACCGCACCATCGCCCTATCGCACGACAGATCCATCCTGGCACTCATACACCAAGACGGCACCGTCGAGGGATACGGCTGCCGGCTCCAGGATGATGATGGCAGCGAGAGCACTGCGGCCGCTGCTTTGGGTGGCAGTGGCGGGTTCTATGTGAGCGGGGCGCTTGAGAGTGGATGGACGGCAGGGGTGTGGCTGCAGGTGCCTGGCAAGGTGGATGTGGAGCTCGACAAACAGGCGCTGCGGAAGCTGCCCGGAGGGCCATGCCTGGTGAGGAGAGGGAGAGCAGACATCGATGGACTCATTCACACACATGGCGCTTGTTTTGTGTGTGTGCAGGTTGTGTTGCGGGAGGGTGGCGTCTTGTCGTTTGTCCATTTGGTGGAGGTCACGCAGCCAAACCTGAATGTCATCAGCAGTGACGCCAACCAAGGGTGCATGAGCGAGATGGATTGATCAGTCGTCCACGCAGACACGCACTGACGGTCATTTGTCTGTGTGTGTGTGTGCATCTGTTATGCGTGTAGATTGAGCTGCTCGCTGAGCGAGGGGCCGAATTGTGCAGTAGTTGGGTGGCCTCAGCTTGGCAGCCTCCACCCCAACACTCTGCTGCGAGTCACTGTGGACGTCCAGGCGCTGCTCAGCCTGCTGACCGAGGTCAGAAATGAACCAACATACCAACACACAGACCAGCCCACATTGGATCATCTTCGTTCTGCCTGCCGCCTGCAGGGCATTGCGGGCAGTGCTGAGTCCGAGGGCGGCAGCCCGTGTGAGAGGGGTGGTGGCGAGCATGAGCACGAGTACGAGCATGGTGACGGGGGCGATGAGGAGGGTGACGACGTCATCGGTGTGCAGTGGAAGCCGACAGAAGAGTCCAAGATCAGGCTATGCTGCGGACAGCCCGAGTAGGGGTTGGGTGGGAGAACAACACATGGCGCCGTTGCTCACTGTCTGTGTGTGTCTGGCCGGTCAGTTCTTTGCTGCTGTTGGTTGATGACGTCCTCGCCATGCATCTCACCGTCGACTACGATGGGTGAGAGAGTGAGTGCCGCAGCAGAAACGCATGTGCTTCACCGTGTCTGTCTCTGTGTGTCAGCCTGTGGCTGCGTCGGCGCTTCTTCCTCCAACGGCCCACGCCGCCCCCACCGACACAGCACACGACATTCGTGGACGTCGCGGCGAGGCAGCACTGGCTGTTCGCCCTGACCCCTCCACCATGTCAGCACCTGCTCATCTGGAGGACGCTCGGGGTGGCCTTCCACGCCATACCCATCACTGAATGCGGTAAGTGGCGGGAGCAACGGAATCACTCACTGCAATCGGTGTGTGTGTCGATGTGTGTGTCGTGTGTTTGGGGTCTCGGTCTCAGTGGGACCTGGCGACGTGTACTTCACCCACATGGCCGTGAGCGGCGACCTGCTGGCCGTAGCACTCCTGGACAGATCAAACGATGTCTGGCTGCTCGAACTGGACAAGTCAGCCGAATGGAATGCACACAAGACGGCCACTGTGTCCCATCTCGCTTGCATCCTGCAGGTACTTCGATCGACCCGGCATCGCGTCGCTGGACTGGGACCTGGTCAAGGAGCGGCACAGGGCCGTCCAGGGCGGGACGCTCCTCACGCAGACCACAAAAGACTACCGCGCCCTCTCCACCTACCCCGACGCATTTCACCTCACCCCCGACGACCTGCAGCCGCCCACACCGCCCCAGCGCCCCCCTCCCCACAGTGGGCCAGCCGCCCCCTCCTCATCTCCCGCTGACTTCCTCCGCAATGTCATCGAGGCGCTGCCCGTCTCGGGCATTCCCGTGTTTGGGGGCATGCTCACCGCCCAGCCCGACTCACTCGCCGGCCTGGGGCTGTCTTACCAGTACGACCGCCACCACCACAGACGGCGCAGGAGGCGACGCAGGAGGCCGGCGACAGATAGGGACGAGCCAGCTGGAGGAGAGATGGACGCGGCGACAGCGGACGAAGAGGAGAGGGAGAAGCAGAGAGTGGGTCACGTCAGCAGGGGCTTCTACGCGTCGAGCCAGGCCGATGCGGTGAGGAGTGTGGATGCCGGGTGTGTGCCGTACGAGTGGTTCGAGCGGATGGACAGAGTCGACGAGGCGCTCGACACCGACAGGCGGTGGGTGCCCAGGCGGGGCGGACCGAGGCAAGAGGGGGCAGCGGGTGGGGGAGCGACCATGGGCGACGACTACTCGGACCTCACGGGCGACGGGCGAAGCAGACTGCGGGTAAGTGTGTTCGTCGATGATGTGGACGGAAGCCATGAGTTTGTGCCTTGTGTGTGTGTGTACAGATCTTCCCTCGCCCGAATGGCTTCATCGCCCCCTGTGCCACAAAGCCAGCCACATGCGACGACGCCCTTAACGCCGAGCTGCAGGTAAAATAGATGTGGGAAGGAGGTGCTGACCTTTCCCTATGCATGTCTCATGCAGGTGGCCATTGAGCGGCAGGCTGCGGCCGGTCGGCACGGCCGGCCATGCCCCTATCCCCCCTGGCTCACGCGCTTCATCCTCCCCTCCCTCCCCCTCCCCGCCACACCCACCCCACTACCACCACAACCGATACCCGCATCGGACAAGCAGCAGCAGCAGCAGTCGCCCCCATCTGCACAGCTCTCACCATGCCCTTCTGACGCCAGCTCGCCGCTCGCGCAGCAGCAGCAGCAGCAGCAGCAGAGACCACTTTTGGTGAGGGTGCACCTGACGAGCACTCATCTGGTGGCAGAGATGGGCAGGAACGAGGCCGACAGCGGCCCCATCGGCCTGAGTCTGATCCCGAGGCGAGCTGCCGGGCGGGGCGGCGGGGTGCACCACGTGTCCTCTGAGCGAGGGCTGGACGAGTGGACGAAGCCGATGGTATTGTGGCTGGGTGAAGGATGGAGGGGCCTGGTGACGGCATCGGGGACCTACTATGTGCTGGGGAGGAGCGAGCTGAAGGTGCCGGTGCATGGGCAGAGCGCCCAGGCAATCTTGTCGAACCTCCTGGCGTTTGAGAGCCGGGGGCGGGCGGCGGCCCTGTGTGCCCTCAACCAGTGGGACGCCACGCAGCTGTGCGCTCTGACCCTGTTCCTCGGTCAGCGACTTACACTACACAACGCAGAGAAAGAAGCTCTGCATGTCATCATTTGCCGTTTCTCTTGTCAGGTCTGAAGTTTCGCGAGTTGACGACGGTGCAGCAGAGTCTGGGGATCCTCCGCCCCGACCACGAGATGGCCGCCACTCGCCTCATCGTCCGCTACATCGACAACGGCTACTCGTGCGACCAGCTGCAGCCGCCCCTCTCCCTCACGCCGTCGCCCCCACCAGCCCCACTGCCACACACACCCACACCCACGCCCGCGCACCCTCACCCAACCATGACCCTCGACAAGAGCTTCGCGTCTCGTCTGCTGGACCTGGCTGTGCGGTTCGTCAGCCGGCTCATCCACAGCCGTGTTCGGGCGATAGAGGGCCACCCCGAGGCGTGCACGGCGCTGACCTACCTGCAGCCGCAGCACGCGTCGAGGCCGCAGGCGATGCTCATGCACGAGCTGCAGGAGCTGACGCAGTACTTGCAGTCGCTTAGGAGCCTCCAGCAGCAGCTCATTGCCACGCTGCCCGACGCCGAGGCGCACCAGCTCATTGTCCACCAGACGCCCCCTCAGGCGCCAACAGAGGGGGAGGCCGTCGGCGTGTCTTTGTCGCCTGCTGCGGCGGTGGGTGAGGGAGAGGGTGGTCTGCGTGTGTCGGTGAGGCGGGAGATGTGGCCGGAGAGCTGTGACAAGGAGGTGGTGATTCGGGAGGCGCTGCTCACCGGCAGGGTGTCGTCGGCTCTCGTGTGGTTCCACCGGCGCAGAGAAATCAGCGAAAGAGAGCAACAGGTACACACACACACACATAGACAGAGGCGAGACACACCGTCCATCCATCCGTGTGTGTGTGTGTTTCGTTTTGTTTTGTTAAGGCGCTGCCCTCTGACGCGGCCATGTTTGACCACCTGCGCCACGTGGCGGGCCGTATGGCCTACCAGCTGACGTGCAACCAGCAGGTCGACTTCATGTTCGTCGCCGTCCACATGCTCCGCAACGTGGGCGCCAACGTCAACCTCTTCTTCAAGGCCGTGGCCTTCCACACCTCCAAGCGGCTCGTCCGCCGCCGGCTCCTCAACCACCTCAGACACATGCGGCGGCTGAGTGGACAGGAGCTGCAGCTCATCGAGATGGTCACCAAGCTGGAGTCGGAGTACCCCAACCCGTGCTTCACCGCCGAGTACAACAGACTGTGGACTGCGCTTACCACCACCAAGTACCCCAAGAAGGTGAGACGGGGCCAAAAGAACAGCCTTGTGGATGGATGGATGGATGGCTGAATGCAGCCTTTGCCAACGGTGCCGGCCTTCCTGACGTGGCCTGCCGGTGGCGAGAGCGCCCTTCGTGTGGGCCTTGCGTGTGATGGTGCGGTGGGCGGGGACGTCAAGCAGGGCGTCGCCCCCGCACTGCAGACCGACCTCACTCTCGGTGGTACACTCCATAGACACAACACAGACCTCTCTCTGAGCAGCTCACACATCAGCAGTGTTCTTGCTTTTGGTTTCTCAGGTCGTCATGCGCGTGAGGCGAACCCTCTTTACGATTGGGTGGTGTCGCCGCCATTGCTGGGTGACGGCAGCATGGCGGCCAGCGGTGAGGAGCTGCTGCCGGATGGGAGCATGAGCATGAGCATGGGTGTGGGTGTTGGCGGCGGTGTGGTGCCGATACAGTACGACAAGGCGCAGGACTTCTGGTCCAACCCACAAAACCTCCCACACCCACCACCCGAGGCACTAGAGGTACGTGCCGCCTGGCAGCAAACACACACACACACACACACCACAGCCTCTCCATGTGTCGTGATCGTGGTACAGGCGTGGCATTGGCTGACGTGCGGCGATGTCGACGACCTCGACCCGACGCCTCTTTTCGGTCTTAAGGCCTTCACGTCCACTCACAACACCGCCGGCATCGAGCACGCCGCGGCGGGAGGAGCCGGAGGGTCGCCCTCCTCGTCCAAGGAGTCCGGCGGCGGGGGCAGCCCCATGAGCGGCATGGCCGTTGGAATTGAAGGCGACTTCATGCTGGGGGACGACACCGCACAGACCATGGCCGCCAACCGGTGAGCGAGACATCATCAATCCACTGCGCCTCAAGCGAACGACTCTTTGTCGGTTTTGCAGTGGTGTGTGTCACCAGTGCCGCATCGACGCCACCAACGAGATCGAGCTGGGCGGTGGGTCGCCACTCGGCAGTGTCATCCGCCTGCACCGACACCGCCCCATCCCCCCACACCAGCCGGCGCACCTGGGGTACCTCCACGTGACGCTCGCGTGGGTGGCCGAGTGGCCGGCCGCCACCTGCAGGAGGATTCTGATGGAGAAGCGGCACTTCACTCTCGCTGACGCCGACAACGAGGGGCTGGCCGCTGCCGTGCCCAGGGGAAAGGACGATACGGTGAGTGGATGAGTGAGGAGCGGGCGGCAAATCACGAAACATACTTCGCCTTGTTGTTGTCGCCTGTGCAGGAGGTTGCTGTGGATGCCACCACGGTTGCTGTGTCGGCACGGGTCTCCCTGCCCAGTGTGTCGCCGTCAGCATCTTCGGACATGACGATGCTGCGTGACTTCCTGGACTTCTCCGTCGCACACCACGACTGGCGGGGAATCGTCCAGTGGGTCGCCAGGCTGCCGCTGGCAGGATGCAAAGTCAGCCAGACAGACAGACAGACAGACAGAGAGCCAGAGATCGCCACATCGGTTGTGTATCTGTTGGTGCCAGGTTGACGAGCACGGCATCGTGTCGGCCGAAATCGGCCCCAGCCACCCTCTGCTGCGGCTGCTCAACCACGTGGAGACCGCCGCCCTCCCCCGGTGCACGCCGTTCCTCGCAGAGATCCTGCTGCAGGAGCTGGCCAACATCGGCATCTTCTGCGCGTCGGACGTGCAGGGCTTCCCGGCGCTGCTCAGGCGGCTGGCCAAGAGCAGGCACCTGTACCGGGGCTTTGGCGAGAGAGGGGCAGAGAGGGAGAGGGAGAGGGTGCGTGTGCGCAAGGCCGTGAGTGAAAGTGCAGGGGAGAAGGAGAGAGCTGCCGTGACGACGGGCGTCAAGAAAGGTCGGTGAGGGATGGATGCCCAATGCACAAGCAAACCAATCTATGTGTGCGCGTGTGTTCAGGCACGTGTCTCGACCTGGACCCCCTGCTCCCCCGCGGCGCCCCCTCCCCCCTGCACCGCTTCGTCATCTCCCTGTGCATCGAGCACGACCTGGCCTCGGTCCTCGTGCTGTACCTGCAGCACTACCAGCTGGCCACCTCGCTCGACGACCTCAACAGACTCGCCATCGACCTCTCGCGCAAGGCATGGGCCGCCCTGCTCATGATCGGGCGGCTCGGCAACCGCTCCTTGTTCGCTGTGTCTCTGCATCATGCCGCGGCGCACATCAAGGAAGACGTGACGGCGACGGGTGAGCGGCAATGGAGACACAGACACATCGGCACAAGTAATGACGTGTCTCTGTGTTTGTGGGCGAAGGGGAGGAGCCTACTGTATCTGAGCCACCCTTGACAGTGCCGTCGGTGCGTGTGGACGCGCAGCAGGTGGAGTTCATGAACCTTGATGCCATCGCCAGGGAGGGGGGCAGGGACATGATGTTCCTCGCAACTCTCATGGTGGCTCCCGTGGCTTCGGGGCTCGAGGCTCTTAAGGCCGACAAGGCGCTGCCATGGCACGTGTCGGAACACGCCTTCAGGTACCCATGTGCACCTGCCAGACAGACAGATGCAGGTGCATGTAGCCCTGTGTGTGTGCGTGACAGGCAAGTGTTGAGCCAGTATCCCATCCTTTGGCAGGCATTCTTCCCAGACGAGCCACCGCACGCCCCACAGCAACATCAAAATGGCAAAGAGGCCCCTCTCTCGCCGCTCACGTCGTCCCTCATCGATGTGGTGCACGAGCAGCAGCAGCGGCTATTGACTCAGCTGGAGGAGCACCGCGACATCTCCCGCCCTCCCCCGCCACGCGTCAGAGGGAGACACAGACCCCCCCAAGCACAACAGCAGGAGGCACCGGCTGCAGCGTCGAAGGCCGATCCGTCTTGGGTGCACTCGGTCAAGGACGACGCGACCGCCTGGCTGGCAACCCACTTGTGTGAGGACATCAGCACCTACAAGAAGGACATCAGCCTCTTCCGTCTGCTGTCCGACGTGGCCTCGCTCGACGTCCATCGGCTGCTGAAGCCACTGCCCATCTTCAAACAGCTCTTCACGCAGAGGGAGACGCACCATGAGGCCCGGAGGGGGGAGGCGTTCTCGTCTATGCTGGCGTCGCCCGACGGGGCCTTCAGGGATGGCCTGGGGGTGAGCTACTACCTGGCTCAGGGGAGGCCGCTGATGGCCTTCCATCTACTGCTGACGGGGCGGGATCGGCAGACGGCAAGGCAGAAAGACGTCACACTTAGAAACCTGCCACTGGTAAAATGGATGAATGGGAGCGACGGATTGGGCGCATTCTCGACCATGGGTGTGGTGTTGGTGCGAACAGGCGTTGGACGACACCACTGTCCGCGAGCTGCAGCGAGTGGCCTTGAGCGTGGCCCTGCACAACCTGCTCAACGAGGGCGTGGTCTCATCTGTAGTGTGTCTGCTGGAGCTGTGTTCGCTCGACACCGAGCTGCTGCGCGTGGACGTCCAGTCGGCCCGGCGCATCTACCAGCACCAGCTCAACCAACAGACACACACACATGCCGCGGCGTCGCACACACAGGGAGGGGCGGCTGGTGCTGGTGGTGGCGGAGTGTCGGTTGTGAATATCGAGGGCGCCGGTGTGGCCAACGTCATCCAGCTGTTCCTGTCCTTCCCCGCGGCCATTGGGGAGCCCTCTTTGGCGGCATCGTCGGCGGGCATCTCGTCACCACACCTGCTCACGGCACTGAGGTCAGCTTGCCCGTCGATCCACCTGGCAATCCATGTGTTTGAGAGGGAATATATGTGTGTGTAGGATGTTGGAGGAGGCGACTTGGGCGCTGGACCCCCACCTCTCTGCCGCGTCGTCGTCGGCCTCGGCCCTCACGTATGACTCGCCGTGGCACCTCGTGGCCCTATTCTGCAGGGTGCACCAGCTGCCGCGATCGCTGACACTTCTCCACGAGCTGGCGCGGTATGCATGGCTGCACACACACACACACACACACACACAGAGAGAGAGAGAGGTAGGTGGATCGCTCTCTCTCCCTCTCTCTGTCTCTGTCTCTCTCTCAGCAACAACGACTGGGTGATGTTTCTGCACGAGAGCGACCTCCAGCAGTGCCCTCCCGACACCGTCCTCGACATCGTCCACGGCTACTTCACCGACAGGCCGCTCCAGAGCCACCTACGGATCGTCGCCAACGCCATCCTGGAGGAGCAGCACAACAAGACTGCACACACAGTGTCAGACGGTGATCGGTCGTCCCGCCGATCCGCGACGGTGGAGGAGTCGTCTCCTGACGGGAGCGATGCGTCGGTGGTGGATTTGCTGCTCGAGTGCCGCAAGGGCGGGGCTGCGGGCGGCACGGGGGCCAGGCTGCTCATGCAGGTGACACAGGCAGAGTATCCGGATGGATGGATGGATTGCGTGTGATGATGGTCAGGCCTTGAACACGCTCACTCCCCGTCTGGCCATCTTCGCCTCAGCCTTCGCCGACGTCACCCCCGCCCAGTGCATGGCAGCCTGGCTCTTCATTCAGACGTCCACTGCAGCACAAGACCAACGAGCCCACCACCACCACCAGCAGCAGCAGCAGGGGGAACAACAGCAGCAGCAGCAGCAGCAGCCAGAGCCCCCCACAAGCCCCCGTCTGATGCACCATCCCTCAGAGGATGCGTGGCGTCAAGACGAGCAGAAGAAGGGCGGCCGTGAGGACGACAGCGGTGCTGGTGTTGTTGGCCGTGATGGGGGCCAGCAGGGGCCAGTGTCGCTGGCTGTGGTGTCGTCGCCGAGCGAGCTGTCGTCTATGATCTCCTCCCTCTGTCGGCAGGGGTCGTTCGGGCTCGTCCTCAGGTGAGTGAGAACTGATGTGCTTTGGGCGGGCGGGATGCACCCACAAGCACAGTTCCACATATCCTGTGTCTGCGTGCGTCAGGGCGCTGCGGTTCTTCGACCCCACGAGCGCACTCGTACATTTCGTCCTCTTTCACCGGTGAACGATCCCGCAATAGACAGACCATTAATACCGTCCGTCCTCATACCTGCGTCCCTCTCTCGCTGTGTCCCAGCTCCTTCATGCAGTGCCGTTTCTCAGCCTGCCGGCGACACCTCATGGCCTTCGTCAAGCGGCGAGACGGCCCAGCAACACCACCACCAGCAGCAGAAGGAGAGGACGCAGCTGCCACGTCGTGTCTGCCGATGGACCCCCATGTGGTGGCGCTCGCCAACGACACAGTGCAGTTCCTCATCGACGAGTTCCCCACACGACGGTGGGTGCCCGGGACGCACACGGGGCCGTGTGTGAGTGGTTTGTGTCTTGTTCGGGCAGGCCCCAGCTGCTGCGTTTGCTGCACGAGTCGGGTTACTCGTCGCAGCACTCGCTGTTCCACTTCGCCTTCACCATCACACAGAAGAACAACCTCGAGGTCGACTTCAGGTGGGAGACCCTGGTCACACACGCACAACGAGACCTGCTCACACGTCCATCCACTTCCATGCAGGTCGAAGCCGTCAGAGATTCTGCAGCTGCTGTTGTCGAAGCGTCTGTTCAGCGAGGCGCGCAGCTGGGCCAAGACCACTGACATGAATGGGGACTCCATCACTTTTGAGGAGGCATGCATCGACACACGGGCCCATTTGGGCGTATGCGCACCGGTGTGGTGTGTCTGTGTGTCATTTATTGTGCAGGTGACGTGTCTGTTGGTAGAGTTCCGGCAGGGCGTGTGGTGGGAGGTGCTGGACGAGCGGATGCAGCTGTGGCACAAGTGCTACAACCTCTTCCTCCTCCACAACTACCCCAAACACCTCGCAGCCAACTTCTTCCTCGACCTCACAGCAAAACTCGAACAAGACCTATACGCACGGTCAGTCGGCCTGCCACACACACACTCACTCACGCGCGACCAAACCCTTCTCTCATTGGTTGGCGGCAGGGAGCAAGCCCTCCTGCTGTCGGTGGCAGCCGAGTTGTGTCCCGAAGGCTCCATGGCCGCCCCCCCAACGTCCACGGCCATCTCTCCGGCCGGCAAGACGGCCCCATCCCCTCCGCCAGCACCGCCCGACCACCGTCGCAGGAAAGGGCGCCGCAGGGCAGGCAAAGACGACGCAGTACGGGGTGGCGAGGGGCCGATGGCGGCTGCAGCAGGTGCGGCTGGAGGAGGTGCTGACACGGCGGGGACCAATGAGATACCGCGGCAGGAAATCGAGGTGAGACGAGGCATGTTGTGAGCGGCTGGATGCAGTGCTGTGTGTGTGTTGATAGGACCGTCTGTTGCTGATATTGGCTGGCTCGGCGGCTGAGGTCGCGCGCGACCTGTGGTCAGTGAGTGGGGCGGGAGTGGGGCGATGCCACACGATTAGGCGACCACATCGTCCCTCTCTCTCTCTCTCTCTCTCTGTATCCCTCAGCTTTGAGCCTCTCAACCCGACGTATGCCAACATCCGCCACCTGCTGCCCATGGTGACCCTGACCGACACAGACAGACACACATCGATTAAATGCACTACTATGCACTGTTTCCGGGTATGCAGGTGCCCGACAGCCTGGTCGCTCTAGCCTTCAACCAGCTCGTGGTGCCCCCCTCGCCCCCCTCCATGTCCGAAGACGACAACAACCATGACGCCGACGACGCCAGCGACACAAGCAGCACACAACCGCCACCACGACCAAGGCCAAAACGGCCCCCAGCAACACGCGGGCCGGAAGACCACAGCAAGCACCACCGCAACACTGCTGACGACGGAGCGGCGACGTCTGCCGGGTCGCTGCCCTACTACCTGGAGCAGGCCATCGCCAACCTGATCAACAGAGACCAGATCGGTTGGGCGTGGCGGCTGGCGCGGCGGTTCCAGCTGGCCGACACGAGGGACATCGAGCTGGCCGAGGCCATGCTGGAGGTCGCCTGTGGGAGATGGAGTGACGGGACCACACAGACGCTGGAGGCAATGGGCGATGGGGATTTTGGTCGCGACTCCGGAAAGGCCCTCACCTTGCTGGCATCTCAGTGCTCCAAGCGGATTGGGTCGTTCTGCAGACGGCTGCAGGTCTACGGGGACGTCGCCACAAGGCTGGGGATCGACGTACAGGTACTTACACAGAGGACGAGCTCACACATCAAGGGGCGTACCTGACCGCTCTGTGTGTGTGTGTGTGTGTAGGAAGCTATGAGTCAGAATCCCACGGCCCTGCTGGACCAGCTGCTGGGGCATGCAGTGCTGCCGTCGGCTGACGACGAGGCGGTCCCCCTGTGTCGCGCATTCATGGCCGTGTGCGACCCCCAGCCGTCAGCAAACGACACACACGCGGCAACCATCGTGCGACGGTCAGTGGCCCACATCTGCAGATCCGCCGCACCATCCACACCACACCACATGCCAGATCTCTCTCCCCGCTCTCTCTGTCTGTGTGGGTGTGCAGCTTTGTGTCCAGCCAGTGTGAGCACTTCGCTTCAACGGGCGAGGCCATGCGGTGGTGCCCATCGAGGCTGGAGGCCTTTGTGTCGCTGTGTGGGTCGCCTAAGGCTCTGGGCGACGAGGCGGCGGGCAAGGCCATGGGGGGCGGTCTGCCGCTCGACTGTGAGGTGGAGCTGCTCATACTCGCCTACACGGCGTACGTCGGGTGAGTGCTCCATCGACCACCAGACATTCGCGCTCACTTCTGGATGGTGTGTTTCTATGCACTGCACATGGGTGCAGCGGGTGTTGCGAAAGGCCCATCACGGAGCTGCTGCAGTGGCTGGAGCAACGCAGCCACCACTACACGGCCAGTGGCCCCAATCTGCTTCTGCGGCTGCTGGCGGCAGTCCCCGAGTACCCCTCCATGCAACACATGCTCCAGCAGATCGTCGACGCATCAGACACCGACAGCCCCTCACCGGAGCAGCCGCTAAATCAGCTGCTGCGGCTGGCAGGCGGAAGGGACTCACGCGAGAGTGAGAGCGTCAAGGAGCCGTCGCTGCTGTGCGCGGCGGTAGTTGATTTCCTCCACTGGTACCGGCCGAGAGATGTGGCCACCATGGTGCGGGTGCACATGCAGCTGGGGCTCACGTCGGCTCTCGGGTGAGATGAGATTGTGGGTGGGGCGTGGCAACAGACAGAAACGAAATGTGAGTGCGGTGGGTGTGGCTGTGGCTGTGGCTGTGGTTGTGTGCAGGGAGCTGCTGCAGCGGGAGGCTCTTCGTGTGCTGTCGAGTGTGTCGCAGGACGCGGCACTGATCTACTCCTCCAGGGGGGAGGAGACTCTCATGCTCGCCATGCAGGTACAGGTACACACACACCTCGACAATCCATCCATCCATCCATCCAACTGCCTGTCCGTTGCGTGTGGATGTTGACGTCCTGTAGTTGATGCTGGAGGCCTCCGAGCAGTTCCTGGCCTCCGACCGTTTCCAGCTGCATTTGGTGTCCAACCGGCTGGCCGCTCTCATCGCCCTGCAGCTCAAGGCCATCCAAATCGCACTCACCAACACCGATGAAAGCGGTGCAGGTGGAGGGGGTCTCAAGGGGAGGGCCGTGAGACCGTTTGGCAGCCTGCAGGGGGCGGGGGCACTACCGTCACCATCGGCCGCGTCCTCGTCATGTGGCGTGTTCGTGCGGCACCTTACCGACGAGTCATCGGTCGTGTCGGAGTCGCAGCTCGACGCCATCTCGGCGGCAGGTGCGCATACATGTGTGTGTGTTGGATGGATGGATGGATGGGTGTATGTGTGTCAGGTCACGATGTGGAAGACGCGTCGCGCATTGATGAGGTTCCGCCTCCCGATCCGCTGATAGTGGTGAATCTGAGCTATGACGAGGTGCAGGACTTCCTCACGGTGCACCCTGACTTCATCGCCGCACTCACAGTCGCTGAGGTACCTTCCTACCTGCCCATACCGATGGATGCAGGGGGAACACACACCGTTCGTCCGTCTGTGTGTGTGTGTGTGTGTGTGTTGCTGTAGGCCTATGAGCATCTGATCGGCCCTGAGGTGCATGCCGTCTGGCCCGCAACCATCTTCCACCAGGTCAGCAAGGCGGCCGATTGGTTGATTGCCAGCCAGCCATGTGCTCTGTGTGTGTGGATGGTCTCTGCGCCTGTGTGTGTGTGTGTGTGTGTGTGTGCAGGTGGTTGTGCGCGGCAACTTCGGCCACCTGAAGCACCTGACGAGCGCCTACCCGCTGGACGAGGACCTCCTCGACGCGCTCACCGACATTTACCTCTCCCACACGACACAGCGCGGCACACAGACACAGGCGGGTGTCGAGCCCCTCTCGTCTCCAGTCGATGAAGACAGGATGCAGGCCAACATGAAGCGGCTGCTGCGCGAGGCGGTTCCCAACAGAGAGATGCGCGCAAAGGTGAGTTCGCGCGCCTTCGTGAGGCAGGCAGGCAGGCTGACAGAAAGAACACCGACAGGCGAACGGACAAAATGTTTTGCTCTCGTGTCTTATTGCGCCGCGTGTTTGTGTGTGTGATGCAGGTGGCTGGGAGGTTGGGTGACGCGTTTGCCGACCTGTGTGCCCTGGATTAGACAGACAGACAGACAGACAGTGGATTGACGCGACACACATGGAGGGAGGGGGCTGCTGTAGCGAGGTGTACAGCGTTTTCGTTCGAGCAGACGATGATTGGACGGTTCGTGTTCGTGATCAAGGGTGCACACAGATGCGATGATCCACTTCTTACAGACGAAAGACTTGACAAGAGATCACAGGACAGTGTGGCAGCACACACTTGCATCCGCGCCGCGATATAACACACTGTAAGTCTGGTCTCGTTCCTGATGGTTTGTGTTGTGTGTTGCCTGCCTGCCTGTCTTGACGAACTCCTTTCTGACGGGTGAGCATGCGACCTGTCAATGGCAGGATGCTCAACCATCAGAAGGCCATTCTCAAGTCAGAGAAGCGCACACACTCGCCACCCACCCCCTCCCTCCACACGCAAAAACGCCATACATCCCTTCCTTCCCCTGTTGCACTCACTGCATAAAGCTTCGCACACACGACTAGATAGATACGGACACCTGCCTACACAAATCCCTCTCACATGGAGAGACAGCAAGGGAAAAACGAGTTACCTGACTGACGGCAGCGGCATGCTCGCCACGTCCACACATGGTACATCAATCAATGACATACAGGAAAAAAGGCCGAGACGCAATGAAGGCCATCCACACGCAGGGAGGGCAATCACACGTTCGGGAGCCAAGAAGGCACACCCCCCCACATCTCCCGCTTGCCACCGGTAGGAATTCTCTGACCGGCTCGCCACGGGTACTGGATGCCGTCACTTAAGAACACCCCTTTGTATGCCATCCCCCACACAAACTCCCCCCGGAACACTTCCCACCCGCCAACCGGACTGTAGGCGCTCCCCTGGCCGTGCCGCTCGCCGTTGGCCCACCCGCCGATGTACTCGACCTTGTCGGGGGCTGAGAAGTGGTAGCAGACGCCATGGCCGTGCGGCAGGCCGTCGAATGTGTCCCCCTTGTATGTTGAGCGGTCCGGCATGGTGAGGCGGTAATCCACGCGGCCCCGCCCGAAGAGCCGGCCGTTGCTCCATCCTCCCTCGTAGATCTTCTTGTCGCCGTCCAGAGTCCGCAGCACCCCAAGGCCGTCAGGCTTGCCGAATAAGACCTGCCCGTGATAGAGGCCGCCCATCCACACGATGGTCTGGGGGACGAGCGGGCCGAGATCGGTCTGTTTGCGCTGAGCCAGCTGAGCCTCGAGCTCCTCGATGCGCGCCTCTGCCTTCTCCAGCCGGTAGTCGGAGTCATCCCGCTGCTGCATGTGCAGGGTCACCGAGGCCTTCTCCTCTGCCAGCTGGGCCTCGAGGTCCGTGATCTGGGCCTCCGCATCTCGATCGCGCTGCTCGGCGTCATCCAGCCGTCGCTCGTAGTCATCCAGCTCAGCCCTCAACTCATCACGCTGCTTGGTGAGCTCCTCGATGAGATGCTGCTGTGTGTGGCGGTGGTCTTGGGAGAGGGAGAGGAGCACATCGGCGTCCATGGTCACCAGTGATGGTGACGCACCTTCCGAGAACACCACCGACATGGCAGATGTCACAGATCCCGGCAGCCTGCATGCACAGAACCAAATGATTTGTACTGCTTCGTTCGATCCATGAACGATGCAATTGCGCACCTGCGAAGGCTAAAGAGGAGAGAGATTTGTCGGCTTAGCTCGCAGATGGATCGTCGCATCCATCTCCAACGCCCTTTGGCCTCGAAGGCCATAACAGGTGGCTTGTCTGACGCCACGCTACAAGTAAAAGCGGAAATGAGAAAGAGATCCAGTGATCCCGACTCATCTTTCATCCCCACCTTTCTGCTGCCATCGCTTTGCAGTGTGCGCAGGACGTAGTCTCGGTGTCCATTATCTTCTGTGAGGCCGCTGACGTCCACAGATGAACAAGGTGAGATGAGGCCGCGTACGAATTCACTGACACAAGATTGCCGTGTGGTTGTGATGATTGCAGGTTCCCAAAGGTTCGCTGCCTCCTCTGCCTAACGTCATTTATGTGTCGGGTCTGCTCGAGCAGACGCACGAGCTGACCGAGAAGCTGCGCAGCTTCATGACCCGCGGCGTGCGGGACGCTAAGCAGGCCCTGCAGGCCAGGGACTACGACAAAGTCCAGACGCTGCTGGACGAACTCAAAGACGGTCAGCCAGCCAGACAGACAGACAGGCCGACAGAGAGGCAGGGAGCTGGTCAGGCAGACAAGTGCGGTGTGTTGTGTGTGTGTGTGTGTGTGTGTGTGTACGGCTGTAGGGATGCCAGAGAAATGGCACCGGTTGGTTCAGCAGGTGGAGATGGTGTCGCATGAGCTGGCTGAGCAGCGCAACGGGAAGGGCTACCCCTCGGAGATGCCGCCCAAGCAGGAGGTGCCGATACCGGTCGGTGGACGCAAGAAGATGCTCGGGTGGAAGGTGGGACTGCCCAAACCAAAACCTGTCGAGTGAATGAGTGCCGAGGGGAGTTGGTTCCCTTAGCTGGGCCAGTTGCTGTTGTGTGAGTGGTCAGGCTGTCCTGTAGATGGATCTGTGCCTCCATGGAACTAAGCTTGAGCATGGGATTTGTCTCCTGGGGATGCATGGACTGGATTGGATGGATCTTCTTCACACGTTCCGACCCGTATTGACAGTTCCCTTCCCACCAGCAAGTCGGTCGGCCATCAGGTCGCACGCACACACAAGATCATGTCATGCACAGCCGGCCTCGCTACCCACGCCGGCCTCCATCATTGTTTGTGCAGACATCGTGTTGCTGGTGTTTGCTTTGAAAGGCAGTGGGTGCGATGCGCACCACTTTGTGATTTCCTTCAATCCCGTGCTGGCAGCAGTTTTAGTCCATGACTGTCCAAGCACCCATTCTTCCATCGAAAGAGCAACGGACGGAGGAACAGAGAGGACAGAAAACCAGCAATCTCACAGCGCAGCGCAAACAGCCGCTGTCCAAGCCTATGCACAGCGTGCTCAGGTCAGGCAGCTATAGAGTCCCCCCAGAAAAAGAGAAACAGATACATCTGCAGACAGACATGAAAGGAACACAAACATATACACAACACACTTTTCGAATTCGCGTCACGACCCCTCAGAAGTATCCGAGAGCCGGTCGGCCTCAGCATCGTCCTCATTGGCCCTCTCCTCCTCGTGACTGTTCTGGACACTGGTGGTGGACTTGGGCTTCCATCGCCGATCGTGTCTCTCGCTGCGTGCACGGTCGGCACGGAAGACCGGATATGTCGGCGTCGACACAAACGGGAGGGGCTCCTCGCCTGCCCTCATTGACCCGTCGAGAAGAATGGAAGTGCTGACTCTCCTTCGCTTCTGGGCCTCCGGGTCAGTGACTTCTTTTGCTGGTGGCGGTAATGGGCCTTGTGCCACTTTCAGAAGCCCGTCGGATGGTGGGGGAGCTCCTGGTGAGTTGGCCGATGATGCTGGCTGCGAGACGCTCGCCGTCGTGTCACTTATCCCTCCCCCTGTGGCTGTCGATTCAATCGTCACTGTGGTCTCGGTCGTGTCTTTATTGGGCAGGGGCGTCTTGCTGGTCTCCTGCTGCCCACCTCCCGTTGCCGAGGCTATCTCCTCCTTGACCGGCGAAGGGTCCTCACAGACGTGGGCCACTCTCACCTCGGCGATCTCGTCGGTATTAGCAATCGGCGGCAGATCGACAGACGCAAGCGGAACGTTCGGCTGCTTGCGATTCCTCTTCTCGGCGTCCAGCCACTGGGCACCCTTGCTGGCCAGATTCCACGAAGATCCACAGAAGGAGGACCGACCAGCGGGCTTCTTCTGTCTGTTCTCTTCTGCCGCCGCTGCTGCAGCACTCGTTGCATCTGCCGTCTCCTTCTTGTCGCTCGCTACAGGCGAAGGCGCTTTGGCTTTCGCTCTGCGCGGTGGCAGTGGACGGCCGGCCGACTTGCTGATGTCATCTGCGGGAGGTGGGGGGTCCTTTGGCTTGAGAGGGGATGGGTGCGGCGGGTGCAGGAGAGGGAATGTGGGCGGCGGGCGCCTGCTCGGGCCAGGGATCCATGTGTACTTGCCTGGCCGTAAAGGGATGGTCGCTGGCTCGGTGGTGGGGGACACCACAGCAAGAGGGGGGCATGACGAGCAAGATTCGTCTGCAGGGGGATTGGTGCCACGTTCCGCCGACCGGCAAGGCGGCACACGGAAGTCGCCTCCCAGGCCGAAGGGGAGGCGTGCAAGCGGCGAGTCCCAGATGGCGTCTGTCGGCCGCTTCCTCTTCATGTCGAACAGCGAGTTGAGGGACGTCAGTGCGAGGGCGGGGTACTCGGCGCTGCGCGTCTCGGCAATCTCCTCTTGATTGGTTGATGTCACGTTGTATGTGAGCAGCAGCTGCCATCGTGTCTCGTCGTAGAAGACTGCAGTCGGCTTCTTGTCGACGTCGGCGCCGCTCTCTCTGTTAGCAGAGGCCACGGGAGACGGCGATCGATCCCTACTGGCCCGGTGGGCACCGCCAGCCCTTTCCTTGCTCCCGGGAGAGTTCCCATTGCCGTTAGAAGACGCCGATGTGCCTCCCTGGGACCGTTTGGCTTCTTTGTCAGACTGGTTTGTTGCTGAGGATGGGGTCTCCGATATGGTTGAGCGTCTGTTGGACGTGGCGTAGCTGTAGAGGTGTGCGTGGGATGGCGGGGGAGGAAAGAGGGGGTCGACAGCCACGCGGATGGTGTGCTCAATCATGAGGGGGATGATGTGGGCCAACCATGCAGACGACAGCTCCAAACAGGGATTCGTGTTGATTTCAAGCAGCCACACCTGCCCACACACGCACGGATACCGCGTGGGCCCATCAGCGGCTGTCCTCCTGTACTTGTCACACCTACTTTGTTGGATTCATCGACCATGAAGTCGTATCCGAATATCTCGAATGAGTGCTGTCTCCTGTTGGTGTTCATGTTGGCTGCGGCGGCCCTGAATGTGTCGGCCATGATCTGCTGCATCTGGGTCACCAGGTGCTCCTGAATCACGACCTGGTCCTTCGGCCGACACGTGTCGAGGTACTTCTGGAACTCAGCATAACTGAACGAAAGCAGAAGGGAGAGGACTTGTGGATGCACCCTGTTTATCCACACCGACCTCAGCTTGTTTGCAGCCTCGAATCTTCCGTAGCTCTCGGACTTCTTCTGCACTGCGTCGTTGGTCAGGTGGATCTGGTCGAGCATTGCGCGTCCATTCATCCACGTGACCATTTGGTGGTGAGGGGCCTTGTCCACTTTCGTACCATGCGGTCAAAGCAATCAGGTCGGTAGGTCTCTGAAGACGTGCGAAGATAGCCGTCACTGCAGTTCAGTTCCGCAGCCACACAGACGCGGAGACGGAGAGATAGATGGCTGTGCATATGACGTATGTCATCCAGCCGACCTACCGGTACATGTAAGCGCGCACGATGACCTCTTGAGCGCTGCGGTGCTCCTCCACCATCAAGCCATACACTCGGATGTCGAACTTGCGACCATGCACGAGAAATGGACTGCAACAAGCCACAAGAGACACAGACACCTTCTTGCAGGCACAAGATCCCCTGCAGGTGGACCACTGACCGTTCGATGTATTTTTGTATGATCGTGCTCTTGCCATCTCTCCCGCCCACCATCATCTCGACGTCCTCCAGCCTGTTGGTGATCTTGATCCCGTTGCCACGATTCGAGTACTCCCCAGGCTTGACGATCCAGAGGTTGCGGAAGCGATATGACGCCCCTCGGCCACCGTTGGCCTGCCCCCGCTTCCTCTTCCCCGGTGACTGCTCCCCTTTGTCTTCACTCTCCTGCTTGTCCTCTCCCCCTGTCTCTGTGCTCTCTTCCTCAGATGGCCGCGACGCCGGCCGCGACCGAGAGGCCGCGCGCGAGAGAGGCCGCCCAGCCGCATTGCGACCCCTCTTCGCCGCATTCGTCTCGGCCGCCTCCCGCTCAAGCGCCTGGAAGAACTTGCGGAAGGCGATGAATTCGGGGTCCTTGCAGCCGTCCCTGCGGATGATGAAAGTAAGGGGGATGACTGAGAAGGGGTCGAGAGACTGGGAGGTGTAGAAGTCGATCATGGTGTTGGCGAGCCCCCTCTTGGTGCAGAGCACTGCGTTGCCCTCGAAGTGATTGCAAATACGGGGGAGTGGGGGCGAGGGCGGCACCGTCAGAGGGAGGAGGGGGGCAGGCACAGCGCCATTGGGGGTTGTCTTGAGCAATGAAAAGAATGCCGGCGACTTGAACTGGCCCCACAGGAGGTTGAGGCCCTCGTCCCCCTCCTCTGCAGGCGTCCACCATGGCCGAAGCCGCAGCACCTGACGGATGAGCAGCGAGTTGTTCCCCTGAAGGATGCAGTAGCTGTAGAGACTCGGGCATCGTGTTGGGCCTCCTCCGCCGCCTCCGGGGCCACCAATGAGCGGACATAGAGAGGTGGATGAGCCGAAGGTGCTTTGCTGGCCGCCATTTGGCCGCTCAGTCGCTGCACTGGGGCGCGCAGTTGCCCTCTCTCGGAACATCTTGGGAACGCTCACTCGCTGACTGGATGACACACTGGTCTTGCTGTCGTCAGACGCCTCTGCCTTCTTGCTTGGGGACCCTCCTCCACCTCCATGCCAGTCAGCGGCCTTGCTCGGTGTGCCGTGATCCGCATTCGCCTCCAATCCGCCGCCACTGGTGGAGGGAGGGGGCTGAGAGTAGAACCTCATGATGTGTGGGAGTCTGCTGGGACTCGTGGTGCGTGAGGGGCTCTTGTCCTGCGGCTGCGTGATGATGGAGTTGGTCAGGAGAGGCTGGGCTTCACTCGCTTGAAGAGAGGGGAGCTGGGGCTGAGGGGTGGGAGGTTCTGGTGTCGGCGTCATGCTGCACGTAGACGGCGCTCTGTCTCCCTTCTGCGCGCCCAGCTCGCAGCCCCCGTTTGTAAACAGAAGATTATGACGGAGAAGAAAGATGGCTGGTAGATGCTGATTGGTCCTTACAGATGGACCATAATTGAGTGTTTGGAAGCCATGACATCGAGTCCGATGGCGGCGTCGCCTCCCGCCGAGGAGCAGCAGCAGCGGACCAGCAGCAGCAATGACTCGCCGCAGAATGGCAGCAGAGATCAGCCGCTGCACCTGCAGGTGGCCGCCACGCACAGGAAGGCGATGGTCATCATCCGGAGTCTGCGGCGCCAGTTCCCAAAACAGAGCTATCGCAGCCTCCTCAAGGTCATCAAATCGCAATACAAGGTTCGGAGAGAGGAAAGATGCATGGAGAGATGCGACCATGGACGCATTCTTGATATGGCATTCGTTGGTCAGAAGAAGCGCGAGAAGGACCTGCTCCCCTCCGACCTGCTGCTGGCCCTCATTCTGTACCAGAACGGCGGCAACAAGAACATGGCCGTCACCATGACCGAAACCCTCATCGAAGGTGACAAGTCAATCAACAGGCATGGCGTCATCATGTGCCTCTGCTGTCTTTACGATACAGGTCGTGACCCCGAGCAGGCGCTGCAAGATTTCCTGTCGAAGCTCGACCAGCAGGAGGGCAACACCGAGGTCAAGATGGAGGACATTGACGTCGACAAGGAGGAGGAGGGCCCCGGCCGCCCCTCTGGCTCATCGTCATCGTCAGTGGGCGTCAAGAGGGAGGCGCCCGACGACCAGCGGCCCGGCAAGAGGTCCCGCTTCATCACCATTGACTTGCTCAGCGACGATGAGGAGATACGCGAGCCGTCGCGGGGCATCTCGCCACCACAAGAGCAAGCAGAGCCAGACGGGGGCCGTGTCAAGATGGAAGTAGACGAGGGGGCTGGGGCGAATGTTGGTATGGGGGCGGGGGTGGGAGGGCCGAGGGATGATGGGGAGGTGCGAGCGCTGCGTGAGAAGTTGGAGAAGCGGGAGCGGCAGTTGCAGCGGCTGATGCAGAGCCTGGTGCACCTGGCCAAGACCGACGACCCCTACGCCGCACTGCAGCTCACGGACCCCATAGGTAAAGGCATCGCGAGGAGGGAGGGCGGGGGAAGGGAACAACACACATACGAAGATGAATGGATTTGTGTGTTCGTCTGTGCAGACGATCGTGCCGCGTTTGAAGGCCATTTGGAGGACATCGGTCTCTTCACATTCGGTCAGCCCCCCTTTCCTCCGCCCCATTTGTGCGGCTTCTCATCTGTCTGTATGAGTATGTCTGCGTGTATGTATGCAGATTTGTCGGGCCTGCCTGACCAGCAAGTGGCCAGTCAGCTGCAGCAGAAGAAGACCGAGTCCGTGGCCACGGTGATGCAACACATCGGGGCCGTGCGGGACGTCCTCGACCGCCCGAATGGCACACTGAGGGAGATGCTATCGCTGGCCCCTGAGGCCCCTGATAGTGTGGTCAGCACAACACCCACACACCAATCCATGCACCCGCGCATACTCGCCTTCTGTATCCCTGTCTGTGCCCTTCTGCAGTTGTTGTTTGCGTACAAGGGTCGTGTAGAGGCGCTGGAGGGTGCCAAGGGGTGTGTGAGGGGCGCTGCCGAGGCCAGGGCGGCGTTCGACAAGGCCAAGCAGAAGTATGACGATGACAAGATGGCTGAACAAGCAGCACGCGACAAGAAAGGACAAGAGGATCAGGTGCGCAGGGCACCCACCATGCCCTCTCCCCTGCCATGGATGCACCCCTCTGTCTCTTTGTGTCTGTGTGTAGGAGCGTGACGAGGCACAGCGTCTGGCGGAGGAGGCGCGCATCGCAGAGCAAGACCACTTCCTGCGTGAGGTGATGGCGTGGCTCAACCGGCTGCCCGACGCCCAGGAGAACCCCTTCTTCTGCTTCGGATTCGCACCCTCCGACAAAAAGCTGTCCACCACATCGGTCGATAACAGAGGCTCAGACACGCACACACAGACCGGCCAACAGCCGACATTTGTGAGTGTGTTGATGTCTGGATGCAGTTGGACAAGAACGCCCGCAAGCTCAAGTTCAAGCTGCACCCCGACAAGTATTCCACGCCCGAGAGCAAGACCCTCGCCGACAAGGCCTTCAAGCAGGTAGGTGAGACATGGAAGGGCAGAGGGCAAGGGCGCTATGTGTGTGTTGGGCTGTATGCCGTGTGCTGCATCCTGCGTGTGTCAGGTTGGTCTGCACGAGGACAGCGCCAAGGCGAAGCTCAACAATTCCAACATCGACCTGGCATCATACGTACGGAGAGACAGACAGACAGACACAGACAGGCAGCCACACCCGCACCTGAATGAATGTTATGCGTGTGCTGTCCTGTCTGGCTGTCGTCATCTACAGGATTGGAAGCGCTGGGGTCACCCCAACGGCTCCAGGTACGGCCCCATCCCCGCCGGCATCCCATTCTCCTACATCTCACCGCCCAACTACGAGTCCGCCAAAGCCAAACAGCAGGACGCATACGCAGCGCCGCCCCCGCCCCCTCCCCCGCCAGGCTACCACAACCACCACCAATACCACCAGCAGCAACAGCGACAACAGCAGCAGCAACAGCAGTACAACGACCTGCACGTGCCGCAGCCGGCCGTGCTGCAGATTCGGCACATCGACTGCTCCCTGACGATGGTGACGGTGCGGCTGCCCGACCTGAGCATGATGTGGCACAAGAAGCTGGAGGTGCTGCTGACCATCCGTGTGGCGGGGCCGTATCCGAAGGGCAGGGAGCCGCCACTCGACGAGATACGCGGCGAGGTGGTGTTCCAGCAGCACGAGTACTTCCTCACAGAGGACCGCTATCGGGACCGTAAGCACAGAAGGCACATGCACAGACCCACCGAGGCACACAGGTGAACGGAGGGATGTATGTGTATGTGTGTGTGTAGGACCGGTGCTGGACATTGAGTTGCGCAACTTGCCGCCTTATTTGGACAAGGCGGCGTTCAAGGGCGTGTACTACTTCTTCACCGTCCTGGGGCCCAGGTGGCCGCAGCCAGAGCAAGGCAGACGCACCCGACTCATAGACTGCGACGTAAGCAAAGCGCACAACTTACTCACTTGGAAGTGTGTATCTGTGTGCGATGTGGCGTGGTGCATGCAGGAGCTGGTCGAGTGCGTGACGACCGATCGGCTGACCAAGACCAAGCTGCAGGTATGTGTGCAAATGGATGCGAGCACCAGAACAAAGGCATTTGCGTGTGTATGTGTCTTTGTGTATGCCTTCAGAGCATGGATTTGGGTGCGTTGGTGGGTCTGATGCGGCGGTACCAGCCCCAGTACAGCGCCACGACCAAGAAGCAGGCCGTGTCAGACCTCAGCGGGCTCCTTTTCGGATAGTCGGACGGATGGATGGATGTAGCGCTCACACACAAGTACATTGAGACCAAGTCGATGTCTGTCCTGTATCCATTCATCGTTTCTCGACACACGAATTCGACTCACGCATGTATCCATGAATGGACAGAAGAGACACGTGATACACACACAGCGAGTGGAAAGGCTTCACAGTAGCAGCAGCAAATGGCAAACTCCCCTCCTACCCACAAGCCCCTTTCATCGGACACAGAAAAAAAGCCACACATGCGTATTCCCTGTCTGTCTGTCTGTCTGTCTGCTCATCCCGTCTATCTATGTCCGCCTGATGGTGGCCTGTTGCTGGTGTTGCTGCCAAGGCTGTCTTTGGTCCTGCTCCTTCGCTGCTTCCCGCGGCCGTTGGCCGCCTGAGGCGGCACTGCCACAGCACCCAGAGAGTCACCAGAACCCGACACATTCCCAATGCCTCACAAACACACACACACACACACACACGCACACACACAGAGGTTCAGACATGCGCCTCTGAAGGCCACTTGTCCTGCGTCTCGATCTGTGTTTGTACCCAAAACAGCTCCATTTGTTTGTGGGAGTATTCTTGGCCCGCTCTTCTCCTTTTTGTCCAATGGATTGAAGACGCCGATGTTGGGCGCGTTACCAAACACCCTGTTGTAGTTCTGCTCCCTGTGGACGAAGCACATGGACGGATCAGTCTTTGTGTGTCTCTGGTGTCGGCCGAGGGCACCTGTTGACGAGTTCCAGACGATAGTACTGCATGTCGTCATGCAGCTTGCGAATCGCACCCTGCACGGCCAGAGACAACGGGCAGTCCTTGTGGTGTGTCGTCCTTGTGTCCGAGTCCGTCACCTCTCTGTCGACGATTTGCTTCTCGTACTCCTCAATCTTCTGCACGTCCTCTGGCCGTGAGGGCCTGTTGTCATACATTCGTTGCCACTTCTGCACCTCACGATTCAAATCCCCTATCTCGCCCTCAAACGCGCCACGTTCCTGGAGGCAGACGAGAGATATGGCAGATGTGCAGTAATGGGCACCCATTACACTGCGTGTGGCCGTGTGAGACCTGTGCAAAGCGCTCCTCAAGGCGTTGTGTCTCCTCTGCCTGGACGGTTTTGAGGGTCTGCATGGCCTGCCGGTGGTCGCTGTTGAGCTGTTGCAGCTTGGCCGTGTGCGCAGTGGTGAGGCCGACAATCTCCTTCTCAAACCGCTCGGTGGTCTGTTTCAGCGTCGCCTGCAGGCTGGCCGCCTCTGCCTTTCGGTGCTCGACGTCCGCTTGCAGCCTTGTCACCTCTGCGTCGGCCAACGACCGGTCCTGTGGATAGGAAGGAGGAGACATGAGGAATATAGGAGACATGAGGAGATGAAGGCCCGTGTCCGTGGGTGGGATGATGTGATTACCTCTCTCTCCTGCTGCAGGTCTCTCTTGAGCACGGATGCCTCCCTCATGTGCGCCTGTCGCGCGTCGTTCAAACGGTCGTTCACCACCTGAATGAAACATAGGAAGCCAGGCATTATGCAGGGTAAGGTGTGCTGCTTCACGACCTACCTCAATGGCCTGCTGGTGCTGCCTTTCCAGTTCTGTGACGGCTTTTCTGTGGTCGCTCTCAAGCGACCGGACCTTGGCCTGGTGCTCGGACGACAGTCTTTGGACCTGCACAGGAGTCAGCCAGCTTGATGACGTGTGTGTTTTGTGGACTCTCTTCTCACCTCCTCCTTCTGTTTGGTTGTCAGTGCGTCGAGCTGCTGTCTGTGGGTGTCGGTCAGCTCCCTTCTCATCCCCTCCAGCTCGGATGTGTGCTTCTTGGTCGCCTCTTTCATCTCGTGCTGATGGCATTCCGTCAAGGAGTGCAGATCAGCGTCAAAGCGTCTGCACAGACAAGACCCAGAACGACATTATCCTCGCTCATGGTTTCTGTGCATATCATCTACACACCTCTCCTTCTCCTGCATTTCCTCGGTCTGTCTCTGTATCTGCTGCTGGTAGTCTTGCAGCTCCTGTGCGGTGCTGATGAGGTGCGACTTCGAGTCGGCCATCGACCCCTCGAGCTCTTCAACCTTTCGACGCCAAAACTTCACCTGACACACAGAAGTGTGCCGCTTGGTCTCTGTATGCTGCACAGTGCTGACTTACAGTTGCGTCTCGTTCATTCTCGAGCGACTCTACTTTTTGTGTGAGGTGCCGGATTCGTTGCGAGCGCTCCTCCACCTCCCTCTCCCTCTGGCGCCTCTCCTTGACCAGCGCCTCTTCGTGATCGGCTTTGAGGTCATCAATTTGAGACTGCAGCGAACTCGCGCTTTTCTTGACAGCCAACTCCAGATCCTGACGACACACAGGAGATGAACGGGGACACAACAATGTGGTGTGGATCTCCGACTTTTCATGGTCACCTTCTGCAACTGCTTGAGTTCCTTGTCCTTGTCAACCATCTGCTTCTGCATCGCTTGATAGTCGGCGGACAAAGCATCACGCTCCTTGTGTGTCTTGTCGATCTCGGCCTGGAGTTGGCTGGAATGGGCCTCCTGAGCCGCCCGCTCAGATTCCCTCTCTGCGTTCGAGGCCTGAAGGGATCTGGGAACGAGAGGAAGAGACAGGAGTGGGTGCAGGGACCGTTAGACGGGATCGGCACGCGCCCACCTTTCGGCATTCTCGATCTGCTCAGCAAGATTTTGGTTCTCCTCCTCTGCCTTCTCCCTCAGAGTCCTCTCCTGTAGCAGAGACAGGAAGTGTCTCCGGCCCGTCCATTTATGCATCAGCAATGCTTGCTGCCTCACCTGATCCCGCTCTTGCGTGTATCGCTCGATGAGCTGCTGCTTCTCAGCATTTGCTTTGGTCATCAGCTCCTCCCTTAGGTCCAACTCAAGCGCATTGAGCTTGTCCTCCCACTGAGGCAAGAGACACAGGGTGAGAGAGCGTCGCTTATGTGGATCGGTGTGATGTGTCTGCTTGCCTCCTTTTGCAGCCTGGCCTGAGAGGACTCTGTGCTGCGCTTGAGCTGCGCGATGGTGTCGTTCATGCTACTCTCGCGCTTCTGGTGCTCCTGACAATAAGATGACAGCATGTAGTGCTGCGCTTCGTGTGTCAGGCCGGCACACCTCTCTATCGGCTTTGCCCTTGGCGATGGTGTCCTCCAGGGCACTCTCAGTCAGCTTCAAATGATCCTTCAGCTGTGTAAGCTGGACAGACACACAAAGAACACGACACAGACGGCATGGATGGAGGCTAGAAAGGCCAATTGTTCCCTACCTGCAGCTCCAGCCGTTCGTTTCTCTGTTGCAAGGTCTTCTCTTTCTGTGATGACTCGCCCTGCACACCCTCAAGCTCAACCTTGACTCGCTGGTAGTTCTCCTCTGCCTCCGCGGCTGCTGATCGCTGGCGCTGCGCGTCATCTGAGCGTGTATGCAACAGAAACACAATCACCACACAGCGACCATTTGTCCACTCTATGCTGCAGGGCCCACCTTTGGCCTGGTTGAGGAGCTCCTGCAGTCCCTGTGTCTTCTTGTTGGCGGCATCGATGTCTGCCCTCAGCTTCCTCTCGAGGTTCTTGCGCTCCTCACGAGACGCCTCAACGGCCGCCTCGGCCGCTCTAGTCCTCTCCTTCTCTCTGCGTGCAGACCGGATAACGAAATCACAACACATTGGAGGCTGCTTCGTTCCCGGCCTTACTTGTTGCACTGGTCCTCAAACTGCCGAGCGTTTCTTCTCTCGTTTTCCAGCTGCCGCAGCAGGTCCATGCCGGCCTTCTTCTCGCTTGTCAGCTCGGACTGGAGTAGCAGTCAACGCAAAGATGGGTGTCTGGAGCGTGTCTCACACATGTCACTGGCTCACCTGTATGGTCTGGAGTGCTGTCTGCACCTGGTCGAGCTCCGTCTGCTTCTCGGTTACCTGGGAGGAGAGGCCGTCGCCTGACGACCGGGCCGTCTCAAGACTATAAACAAGACACGAATCGATCAGCGTCTGAGCGCTTCCTCGTATTTTTGTATGTCTCACTCCTTCTTGAGCTGTTGGTTCTCCTGAGTGGCCCTCTTGAGCTGTGCCTTGTGCTCATCCTCGATGACCCGCAGCTTCCCCCGTAGGCTCTCGGCCTCCTCGGCCGCCGTCTCGCACTTCTGTCTCAGCTCAGCTACCTCGTTCTGGAGGTCCTCTCTCGTGCGGTCGGCCTCGCTGCGCGCCTTCCGTTGACTCTCGACAGCACGATGGAGCTTCTGCAAAAGGGACAATGAATGGTGATCAGGGGTCCGTGAGGGTGCTGGTCTCATACGTTTCTTTCTGCGTCAAGTTCTTTCTGCAGCTGGTTCTCGCTCTCCTCCTTCTCGGCGACGAGGGCGTTGTAGCGGTCGTTGTGCTGGCGGGTGATGTCCTCTATCTCGCGGTGCTGTCTCTTCTTGGTCATCTCCAGCTGACCTGAACGACACACACCCTCTCGCACGCACATCCCGTACACAGACACAGAGACGACCGGCCCCACCCGTCTGTTGCTCGATGGTAGTGAGTGCCTCCTTGCACTTCTCCATATGTTCCTTCATTTTGTTCTTGAGGTCGATGAGTTCTCCGGTGACGCCGGCCATCTTCTCGCCCCATTGGCGGTTGATCTTCTGCTCGCGGTCCTCACACGCCTTCCTGTAGTCCTGAATCTGCTTCAGAGCCGTCTTCTTCTCCTCGTCGATGCGCACCTTCAGCTGGTCGATCTCCTTGCCGCTTGTTCTGCAGTGCAGTGCAGTGCAGTGCAGTCCAGGGCAGACAAACGACATAAGGAATGGACGCTTTGTGTGTCTGCGTGTCCTTCCTCTTCCAGTGATTCAGAATGCAGTGCTCACTTGTCGTTGCGGAGTTTCTCGAGCGCCTCTGTGGTCTTGGCGAGTTTCTGGTTGGCGTCTTTGACAATCTGGTCGATCTCCTTTTCGTATGCGGATGACACAGCCTGCAGGTACACTTCCTGCTCGTCGGCCTTGGTGTTGAGGTGGAAGATGACCTTGGTCAGCTGGGCTATCTTCTTGCTCATCTTGTGATGCAGCTCCGACCCATCCATCTTGGCAGTCATCGGTCGGGGGGCCACGGGCCAGCACAAGAGCGCGGTCAAAAGAACTGCATGCAGACGGGGGCATGCGAGCTAAGCTCGCAGGCTCTTGCGAGCTTAGATAGACCGGAATTCGGATGCGGGTTTTGCGCACTTGGCGCGAATGTTGAAGGCTGTTGATGAGGTTTTCGTATCTCAGTTTTGATCCCGCCTCGGGACAGAGGGCAACTCGCCTCTGATCGCTCATCGCGCGGCTACCTCTGACTGAAGGCAGATGGCGCAGAGCAACAACAACGCGTCGACAGGAACGGGCAGCAGGGATCCCTCCAGCACGCCGTCCGGGGGATCTGTTCCTGCTCCTGAAGTGCAGCACAGGCAGAATTCCGAGCCAGCAATGATCACGTTGCGGAAGGACACGAGCAACAACGAGGTGGCGGACATGGGCGACGAGGCGGAGCCACTGCCGCCCGGTTTGCCTCACGCCGTGTCGGTGGGCGACGAGCGGCCCTACAAGCACTCATACAGCGAGGCCATGCGGCGGAATCGCAGGAAGATGAGCCTCTACCGCAAGCAGCACGGCAGCCTCAGATACTTCGTCGAGGTGGGCAGCACACGCGCACACACAGGAGGGAGATTGGGGATGCATGGCTGCTGAACTGAGGTGGGATTTGCTGTGCTGTGTGTGTGAGTGTGTAGGCTTTACAAGTTGAGGATGACGAGCTTGAGATGGAGCACTTGACGAAGCTGCAGAAGATCGCCAAGAGCTGGCAGTTTGAGCTCTGCGTGTGGGGCGTCATTGTTCTCAACTGTATCGCTGTCTGGATTGAGACATCCTTTAGGTAGGCATGTTCAACGACAGCAAACACACACCACAGACATGTGCGATCAATGTGCCTGTGTGCTTGTGCGTCGATGACAGTCATCGTGACCAGACCGTCAACAAGTGGCCGTGGATCGGGATACAGTTCGCCTGTCTATTCCTTTTTGTCGCCGAGATCATCTTCAAGATCGTCGTCCTCGGCAGAAGGTTCTTCAAGGTCGGTCAACCTCACAGCCATTCACCAACCCACACACCCACACGCCCACACAAGAGCCCAGATAAATCGGCTCTTCTGTCTGTGTGCCCTCCATGCTTACAGGACGTCTACAGCTGGATCGACTTGGGGATTTTGTTCATGACCATCCTGCCGTGGGCCATATCGATGTGGCTGCCCGGTCTGGGGTGGACCTCAAACGCAGAGATGGCGTGGCGAAAACTCTCCATCCTGCGTATCATACGAGCACTGCGCATATCGCGCGCTCTCAGATACCACACCGTCTTCAGAGAATTGTAAGACACGGAAACACACAGACAATGATGACGTGCTATGTCCATCTCTTTGTGTCTGTCTGTGTGCCCGCCTCTGTGCAGCTGGATGTTGACGAGCGGTATCACGTACAGTCTGAAGACCCTCGTGTGGGGCGTCATCATCACGGCCATCATGCTCTTCGTCTTCGGCACATTCGCCACCACCATGATCGGATTCTCGAGCGACTTCCAGCCCGAAGAGGATCCATCCTCAAACCAGATCGCGGTAAGGCAGCCCAGACCTCACACAGCCACTCCGAGGCATTGCACTAACATGGCCCTTCTCCTTCTCGTTGGCTCAGGAGCAGTGCAGAAATCTCACCAACAATCTGACAGAGGCGGATGCGGCTGAGCTCCAGGACCGTTTCGGCATCGTCATTCCCCTCCTGCAGCAGCAGTGCGAGGCCTTTGTCGAGAAGGGCTCCTCAAGGCGGTCACTGATGGGTCTGGACGGCCTCTGGCCGTCGCCGCGCCTGCTGAGTGACGAGGACGGGGAGCCGCTCATCACCGAAGAGGAGAAGGAGGAGGTCCAGTTGCGGTTCGGCACAGTCGTCACGTCAATGCGCACTCTATTCCAAATCATGACACTCGGTGAGTACGGAAACATACAGATATGGACCGTGCAATACTGTCGTGCCCGGTGCGGTGTGGTATGGTGTGTGTAGACGACTGGACGGACGCCACTGAGGTGGTCATCAAGCAGCAGGCCTGGATGTGGCTCTTCTTCGTGGGCTTCATCTGTATATCCGTCTTCGCTCTCACCAACCTCATCACTGCCGTCCTCGTCGAGAGCGCCACACAGGTACCCATACCACACCAGACACAACAGGCCACAACCACACACAACCCACCCACCGTTTCTGTCGTTCAGATGTCGCGCGAGGACGAGAAGCGCCGTGAGTTTGAGAACCACCGTGAGATCCGCAAGCTTCGCCGCATGCTCATCCGCGTCATGAACGCCGGCGTCCGCCCCGACTCGCCGAACGGCAGCGGCGACCGACTCAACGAGCGCACCGACATGGCCCAACGGGGCACTATCGGCTCGCTGACCACCGCAGCAGAAGAGGAGGAGGCCAAGGCCTCCATGAGTGACCCCAAGGACCCCTCGCCCACTCACGCCCGCACCAACGGGATGGCGGGTGGTGCGCCGAGTCCGAAGGGTGTGAGGGGAATGTTCTTCAAGAGTTTGACGTCGTTGGTGGACCGGTCAGGCAACACGCCGAAAGGGAAGCGGCGGATGAGCCGCTCCGACGTGTACCAGGACGTGCAGCTCAGCGAGATGAACGACTCCTTCACCAAGACAAGGCTCGCCCAGGTCATGGAGAAGGCTGAACTCAAGGTGGGCGGATGGATGGGTGACACGGACAGAAATGGCGCTTCTGCGCACACTCCAACCGTGTTTGTGGTGCCTCGTTCTTTTTTGTCTGTCAGCGTCTGATGAAGATGTATGAGTGCGAGCCCAACGACCTGTTGGGTCTCTGTGACCAGCTGACGGTGGACTTCGAGACGCGAGACCCGACGGGCAGGCGCAAGGAGGGCGAGATCAAGATGGACGACTTCATCTTCGGCGTGCAGAGGCTCAAGGTCGGTCGGCGGGCGAGATCCTGAAGACTGGTGTCATCTGTGTCACAGTGCATTTGGAAGGATGTGTGGCGTGTGTGTGTGTGTGTGTCCAGGGTGGTGCCAAGAGCAAGGATTTGCTGCAGGTGCTGACGCGCCTGTCGATGATAGAGCGCAACCAGGAGCACATCATGAAGGTCCTCAACGCACTCTGGCAGGCACAAGTCGCACGGTACGCCTGCAATCCCCATCCCAAACACACCCACCATCCACCACCCTTCTCCTCCTTCCCTCGTTCAGGGCTGGCACGTCCACGTGTAACATGTTCGACCCGCTGCACACGACCCACCGGTCCCCCACCTCCAGCACCAATCGCAACAACTCCCGCTCCAACTTCAACCTCTCGGCCAGCAACAGCCGTCTCCCAGACACCACCGACGAGCGGAAGCTCGCCGAGCTCAGGGAGATGGTGACCCGCGACGCCAACTACGGCAAGGACGACTCGCCCGAGACGGGCCGCTCATACTCCTTCCCCACCAAACCAGGCGGCGGTGGCTCGGGCAACCGCACTCAGTCGGACCTCGACGACCCCGACACATCGGTCGAGCGCAGCGGCAACAAGTCTGCGGGAAAGAAGAGTGGCGGTGGCTCCTCCCCCAGCCGCCGCCTCACCATGGGCAGCAGCATCCGTGGCATCTTCGGCGGTCGCGGGGACAAGAAGGGGGCAACCGGCGACAAGACGCGACGATTCTACCTCTACTGGCGCAAGCGCGGGGCGGGCAACCGGTCCCGCAGAGGGGGCGAGCATGACACCGACGATGAGGCCACCGGGGTGGTGTTGACGGGTGGTGGCAAGGGCCCCGACGAGAGGGATCTCGAGAAGGGCTCACTGTCGCCCCCCGCCCGCGTAGACCCGACCGAGCTGCCGCTGCTGACGGCCTCGTCCATGTATGAGGAGAACGGCCTGCCCCCTCCACCGCCCCCTCCCTCCCCGCCCAAGGGCGGCCTGCCGGACGAGAACCTCGACGAGGAGCCGGAGCCCTGGACGGGCATCATCCAGCCCGTGCAGCTGACCGAGAGCGTGCCGGGCGATGACGACTCGCCCCGTGTCGACGGACTGGAGTCGGGAGTCACATACGACGTGGGCAAGAAGCTGGTCAGCTTGACGGGACTGGCGACGCTGCCCGAGAACGAGGAGGCGCGCCCGGCTGTTCGGGAGGACGTGAGACACCGTGGCAGCAGAGGCATGAGTACCAGCACTGCTGCTGCAGAGGGCTCCAACGGCCAGCTGCAGCAGCCCCAGGAGGCCCGCCGCGGCCCCCAGCCGTCGCTTCTCGCCGAGCCCAGCCATGCGGCCCCCTTTCTCAGCTCGGTGCTGGATCCGAAGCTGACCAACGCGGTGTCGGTGTACTTTAAATCGGAGGAGTACCACGAGGACCAGGACAGCAACTCCAGCCGCGCCCCCTCCGACCGCCCAGCCGGCCTCCAGCTCCCCACACCGTCTATCTCAGGCGACCCCAACGCATTCAACACGCCGTCGGGCGCCGTCAACGTGACGTTTGCCCGGCTGCCGACGGACGAGTTGACGCCGTCACCCACGGAGGGCGGGGAGGGCCGTGCGGCCAGGCCCAAGCAGCGACACGCCACTTTCACCACTCAGGAGAGCGACCAACGCCTGCGGCCCGCGCACAAGTAGGGTGTGTGGGTGTGGGTGTGGGGGGTTCGTCTTTCTTCTTTTAGTGGAGGGTGTGGGTGTTTTGTGATCTGAGCGGTGAGGGAGGGGCTAGGGAGGGGCCAGGTGTATGATGCGACGTGACTGTCCAGCTGACGTGAGGCCGTCAACCGACGGGCTTATGCGGCGCGGACAGCCATCAGGTCGGCTTTGTTGGTGGCTGCTGTATTGTGTCGGCTCGGCTCAACTCGGCTCTTCCCTCCCTCTCTCTATCTCTATCTGTATCTGTGTGTGTGTGTGCATGTCTTCGTGAGTCGTGTCCCGCATCAGACGTAATTCGGTGGTGTCGGCGGCGAGATGTGTGTGTGTGTGTTCGTGGTTGGTGTGTTGCGGTACGATGCAACCAGCCTGCCGGGTGGGCGATTCGATGCTTCTTTTTCATTCGTTTTTGCGACCGAGTGAATGCGACCGTCAGAGATGGGATCGATATGGTGGGCGAGGGAGGCCAGAGCAGGCAGACAGGCACCTATATAGCGCTCGATTCGTCTCATGCTCATGATTTTCGCGCGGGGTTTCGTTTCCTCGGTTGTCGGGTGATTTTTCAGACACATTTGTTCCTCACTCCCCCTTGCTGACACCCTTTTCCCCTCCCCCATTGCCCCAGTCCTCTCCCCCTCCTCTGCTTCTGGCTGCGTGTTGGGCAATCTGCTCACCACCCACTTAATCACTCTCACTGCTTGGGTTTGCTTCATGTTACTCACTCAGTCCATGCACGCTATCTTTTTCTTCTTGTTGCGTCTGTCCATTTGACGTGTCTACCTCTTCTCCATTCTCTCTCTCTCTCGTCGCCATACATCATGTATCTAAGGGGCTGGGCGGGGCGGGCTGCGTTGCGTTAAGGGGTTTGTGCGGAATGGGCTGGGCGGCAGGGTGCTACAGCTGCAGTGCAGTAAGGCCAAGTACACGATTTTCTAAGCCATGAATGGGGAGGGAGGGAGGGAGGGAGAGGGAGGACTCAGAGAGTGTCGCTAGGAAGCGCGGATGGTTGTGCTTGTGGTGCTTGTGGTGCGGGCGGGCCCATTTAAGTGTTAAACTGAGTCACACTTCTGCCTGAAAATGAAGATCAAGGAACGATGACAGAGAGAGAGGAAGGCGCCTTTGAGGAGGAAGGCGCCTTTGAGGAGGAAGGGGCCTTTCCATGGGTCATGCTGTGGTGTGTGGTGGGGTGGGGTGGTCCTGCCGTCTAATCTATCCATCCATCCCGTCCGTCTGCCTGTCAATGGCTTTTTGTTGCGTCTCTTTCTCGCGTCGTGCGGTGTTGTCGCTGTGTCCGTTTTTCAGTGAGGGAGCGGCCGGCCGATGCATTGCACTGCAGGCCTCCGAACAACCGACAAGACTGACCAACGAAGGCACGTATGGTCGCGGACCGCTCTCTTGCCATGCCTTGCCGTGCCAGCCTGTCTGCTGTATTGTCCTGTCTTGGCTCAGCTTGCCGTGGTACATGTGTGTGGTGGTGTCTGCGGCGGCCAATTCGTGTGCTGTGTTGTGTGTGGGGATTGTGTGTGGTCCGTCTACCTGTCTGCCCCACCACTGCTCTTGACTGCTCGCTTCGTGTGCCGTGTGTGAGTGTCTGATTGTATGTGGTGTGAATGTCTTGTTAAGTGTTGAGACGAAGAGAACACTAGAGAAACAAGAAAGAGACAGCCGTGAGTGAAGCGAATTGTAAGGACAACAAGACGGCGTCTCACTTACGCACACACACACACACACACGCGCACAAGCACACGCACACGCACACGCGCAGAGACACAACAGATAAACTCCCCTCCTACTCGGCCTTCATGAACGATGGATGCAACCTATACAAACCACCGCCCCCAAACCCAGCACACCCACACCACCCATCCTTACTAGTGGCACATAAAAACAACAGCGTCTCCCACAACCCTCCAGCACACCAGCCACCCATCTCAGCTATCTGTCAGGTGGCTCCTTCCCTCCACCAAGCGGCACCGGGGGCATGGGTTTGCTTCATGTTACTCACTCAGTCCATGCACGCTATCTTTTTCTTCTTGTTGCGTCTGTCCATTTGACGTGTCTACCTCTTCTCCATTCTCTCTCTCTCTCTCTCGTCGCCATACATCATGTATCTAAGGGGCTGGGCGGGGCGGGCTGCGTTGCGTTAAGGGGTTTGTGCGGAATGGGCTGGGCGGCAGGGTGCTACAGCTGCAGTGCAGTAAGGCCAAGTACACGATTTTCTAAGCCATGAATGGGGAGGGAGGGAGGGAGGGAGGGAGGGAGGGAGAGGGAGGGAGGACTCAGAGAGTGTCGCTAGGAAGCGCGGAATGGTTGTGCTTGTGGTGCTTGTGGTGCGGGCGGGCCCATTTAAGTGTTAAACTGAGTCACACTTCTGCCTGAAAATGAAGA